TTTTAATTCCCAATTCTCAGTTCGTGAGCTCTTCTGGGTCCCTTGTCTTAGTTGTTCTTAGATTTCTTTTAATTTTTAAATTTCCTTTTTTTTTATTTTTTAAATATTTTTTTTTGTTACTCCCCATGCCATGCCTGTGGTTTAACGCAAACCCATCATCACTTGGTCCCACTCACCACTTTTCACTGCACACCGCCGAATTGTTCTTGTCATAACGGCAGCGTGAACATGAAGCAATCCCTCCGGCCTCAGAAAAAATAATAATAATTAGAAATAATATCCATTTCTCCTCTGCTCATCGCTGTTTCGACTCTCTTACCTTCTTTCTTTGTCCTTCAAATCTTTATTTACATTCCTCAAATTCCCACCTCTGCTGGTCTACTTCTTTGCCTCTTTACTCGACCCTTCTGACAAGTACCCTTGCGTTGTTCCATTTTTATTTTAAGAACTTAGCTTTATTATCTTTTGATTGTAATTTCTTTTCTTCTTCTTTTTCTCTTATTCAACTCTATATATATTCTACTCTCTTCCTTTCCTTCGGACTTTATATCACTGCGACGAGCATCACTACTATACTGCATATAAATACAGGTGTGATCAATCGTTTCAGTGGTTGTTGCTCCAATACGAATACCCAAGAACTACCAGTACGGAGGAGCTTCTATTCTACCGAGGAAGCAAGCTTGAGAATTTCCTCGAGCCCGTCTTTATCCAGTTTTAACCTTCCCGATTTATTTTCTCCCTTTTCACCGTGGCGACCCTAGCGATCAGTGTGTTGACTAATACCCCGTACACCAACCCGGGGCATTCCACGCATCACTATCATTCGCTGTCTGGTTACCATCTCACCCAACCGACTGGTGGCCTCTCTCGCTCTTCCCTTCCCGAGTCTTCGGCTCACCTGGAGAGAGGGGGGGTCCCGCCATGCCCCAGCTTCTTGCGGCCGTCCATCGAAAGAGACTCGGAGCATATGTCGCCGATTTCTCCAGTGACAGGCCCTTCATCAGAAGATGCCCTTCGAACTGAGAAACATAGTGCCCTGGAGAAGAAACGCCCTTTTGTAGACGAGGATTCGTCTTTGAACGGCCGCGAGCCTGGACGTCCGCGGCCTGTTTCGTGGCATCCCTCAACCCCTGTGGAGCCCCCGCTGAGTTCTACCCAGCTTCGTCCCATTGGAGTCGACTCTATCTTGAACCCCCCGGCGAGAGCACCGTCAGTATCTGCTTCCACGGCGGAAACCGGTCGGGAAGGGCCAGGAGACCAGTTCTCAACCTCCCCGTCTCATCAACATCTCCCTCCCGCGACAGTACATCTCCCATCTCCATCAACACACGCAAAGCGCCTATCGACATCTCCAGGAATGAGGAGCCGTCAGATCATCTCTCCCGTTTCACCATCAGCTCGCTTTGTCAGCTCTGGAGTCGGTTATCCACGAAAAGCGAGTGCTTCCCAGTCTCCGCTAGTTCAGGAAACACGGCCGGGAGCATATACCGTGGCGCCTGGTTCACCCTTGCCTGTGGATTCCGTAACTGGACAGTCGATGTCCGTGTCGGGATATCAACAGCCTGCTCCAGTATCCGTTCATTCCACACCAACCTTCCATAGCCGCCGGACAAGTGCTAATCCAACACCAAACCCGAGCTCTCAGGAGACGAGCCCTACGACACCCATCTCGACCTTTAGTCAATTTGGCCGGTCATCTCCTGCGGCTACTACTGCTTCTGGCCCACAGCCTGCGCCGTCATATTTGCATACCACTCCGCATACAACAATGGAGCCAGTCAGCCGACTGCCTTCAGTAGTTGCAGGCCACAAGCATGTGAGTGAGGAGCCCGTCGTCCTGCCTAGTTCCCAAGCGGAAAATCCCCCTTACCCCGGGATGATCCCCTGTATCCTAGACCTAAAGTCCGGCTCTTCTAGCCAGGCCGAGAAGCGAAAGGCAAATAGTGATGCGTCGAGGAGGTTCCGCAACAGGAAACGAAATGAGCTACAAATGGAGCAGAAGATCACGGCCCAGCAGGATGAAATCCGGAAGCAAACGGAAGTGCTGCAGAGGCAGGCCCAAGAGATTCGGGCCCTGATGCAAGAGCGAGACTTTTACCGCTCCGAGAGGGACTTCTACCGCGAGCACGTCAGCCGTCTCGGGCCTTCCGGTCAAATCCCGGCCCGGCCAGCCTCTCCACGCTCCTTTCAATCCTCGGATCGTGACCCTCAGGTCTGGCCTAGTACAGACGCCACACAGCGAGCTGTGGATACAAGCGGAGTGCCACCGCCCGCCTCAGCTACTAGAGCAGCTGGTAGCTGGCCAAGTCGAGGGACTCTGGCAGATGAACAGCAGGCAAGATCACTGCCACAGTTCCCTGGGCCATGGACCCGCGCTTGATTATGGAAGCAAGACATTGGGCTCACATGTCCCGGCTTATGCTCTGCTTCCTCTGTTTCTTTTGAGGAAATCTCCGTGCGACTTTTGAAAGGTGCACGCCTTCCCTCTCTAACATTCTTTCTCTCCTGCGGGATCGTCGGCTGTCCATTTTGGCATCCAAGGAGATCCGCAGAAATAATTACCTGACTATATTTCATACATCTCGCCTGAGGCGAGAATCTCATTGCATTGGAGGAAATTGTGTTATTTGTGCGATCAGCATGGAAATTTTGGATTATGCGAACGGCGAAAAGCAGATGGCTCTCTTATTGATTAGTGCGAACTGGGTTCCTGACATTCCTGCATATATTTTGTTTGCTTTAGCTGTCAATGTTTTCACTTTCTTGCTTATAGTTTGCTTCACCCTTGTCTATTTGGTTGAGAGTGTTGGAAAGGAGTCTGTCTGCTTGCTTTGCATTGACGTCGATTTGATTCGCCTCGCTGGATTGTTTTTACAGAGCACTTGGAAAAGTGTCAACTGCGAGGCGTGTTCCCTTGATCTTGGGCTGTTCGGTGTTGTTGGATTTGTTCTGGTTTGATTGTGACCGTGGACCCCGTTAGACGAAAGATACCACCACGGCTCTGATTTGGATTTGAGCGTGCAACTGAGAGCGATCTCCCCATTACTGTTTCAAAGACTTGGCTACTCAAACTTGGGATTTGTGGTATCTACCATAGACCTGTACAATATCATTGCCCAAGAACAAGAACAAGAAATACCTCTAAAAAAAACAATGAGAATATTTCAAAGACTTCAAGCAAAACGGGAGAAAAGAGCGAAAGCACGAAAACGAAGAGGAAAACAAAAAAAAAAAAAACAAGGCAGAGAGTCAACGGCCGTTGTGGATCTCCGCCGGGCTCGGCGACATCCGACGATGATCGTTATCAAATGGAAAGCACGGGTAGAGATTATCAGATGTGGCCCGCCAGCACCACCACGAGATTTTATTAGGTCATTAGATTGATTTAGTGAAGCATTGACATATTGACATATTGACTGGTGCGTTTTTTCGGAGAATTTCAGTCTTCGTTGACTGGTTTTGTGACCATGTGAATTTTGTGCTCTCCGTGAGGTTTCCACATCGTTTAGACTTGGAATAGTATACGATTTGTCCCGAGACTAAGGAAAGGGCAAATATTAGAAGAGAAAAAGAAAGAAATGAATGAAAAAAAGTATAATAAATAAACAACCATCTTGAGCAAGGATTCCGAAAGAATATTCACGTAAAGCGTGGGGAAAGGATTGGCTGTAGTTGACAGATTTGAGAACCCGTGCCTGATCAATATCAAACCAGCTAAAACAACGGCTTCTCGTAAGGAGTGGATTATTGCGACGTAAGTAGCCCTGTACTAATTAATCATGCGTGAACCTCAGATCTTAACTTCAATTGAACAAAAGTCCGACCGGATTCCGAAGGAATGTCTAGGATTATGGAACTTCTTCTCTGGCACACTTGTTCACCATTCCCGCGCCCACGTGGGCCCAACACAACCTATCAGAATCGCACAGACAACTCAGGTCATCCTCACCGTCAGCACTTTCTACTACCTAAAGAACCCAGGATGATCGAACATCATGTCTTATGCGGCAGGCTTATCCTCTTTTAACCCCCACTACACTAACATCACGGCTGAATCTCCGTCCGATATCGCGGGATCCGAAGCTGCACTAGGGTTACAAGGTCTCCGATTTTGATCAACATGAGACGGAAATGAAGGGCTTATATGAGGACCTCCCCGTCCGCGTGGAGGGCGTGTCCCGTTGTTTGTCTAATAGCAAAAGGGTTGCAATCGTGAGCGTCATGGCTGTCCTTAGCGTGCTCCTTCCCATTACCTTCCTTCTCTCGAGGTAAGCTCACCCAGAGACACTGCCCTATAGTGGATGCCCTAATCTAACGGCGGCTGATCTTCATTCAGTGTTGCCGGTACTCCGGTCACTAGCCCGAGACAACAGTCGTGCAATACTGTTGACGAAGGGTACCAGTGCTTCTCGGGGGTCTCTCACCTGTGGGGCCAGTATTCCCCCTACTTCTCGGTCGACGACGAGTCTTCGCTCTCCGAGGACGTTCCGGACCACTGTCAGGTTACCTTCGCCCAAGTGCTTTCCCGTCACGGCGCGCGGTATCCAACGGAGAGCAAGTCCGAGAAGTACGCCAAGTTCATCAAGGCCATCCAGCATAATGCTACCTCGTTCTCCGGGAAGTATGCCTTCCTGAAATCTTACAACTACTCCCTCGGCGCCGATGACCTTACCACTTTTGGAGAGAACCAAATGGTGGATTCGGGAATCAAGTTCTATCAGCGCTATGAGGAGCTCGCCAAGAGCGTCGTTCCTTTCATTCGGGCATCGGGCTCGGATCGGGTAATCGCATCCGGTGAGAAATTCATCGAGGGCTTCCAGAAGGCGAAGCTCGGTAACTCCAAGATCAAGCGGGATCGGTCTGCTCCTATCGTCAACGTGGTTATCCCTGAGACCGATGGATTCAACAACACGTTAGACCATAGTGTCTGCACGGCCTTCGAGAACAGCAAGGTAGGGGATGAAGCAGAGGACAAGTTCACAGCTGTTTTTACGCCCTCCATTGTTGAACGTCTGGAGAAGGACCTCCCCGGAACCAAGCTCTCCAGCAAAGAGGTGGTTTATCTTATGGACATGTGCTCATACGACACCGTCGCCTTGACCCGCGACGGCAGTCGGATTTCCCCCTTCTGCGCGTTGTTTACCCAGGAAGAATGGGTGCAATACGACTACCTGCAGTCGGTCAAGAAATACTACGGCTACGGTGCAGGCAACCCTCTTGGACCTGCGCAGGGCATCGGCTTTGCTAATGAGCTGATCGCTCGTCTGACCCAATCCCCGGTTAAGGACCACACCAGCACCAATACCACGCTGGACTCGAACCCCGCCACTTTCCCGCTGAATGCTACGCTCTATGCGGACTTCTCGCACGATAACACGATGACCTCCGTTTTCTTCGCGCTTGGTCTGTATAATACGACCGAGCCCCTCTCTCAGACCTCGGTGCAGTCGACTGAGGAGACGAATGGATATTCATCCGCCTGGACCGTTCCTTTCGCAGCCAGGGCCTACGTCGAGATGATGCAGTGCAAGGATGAGAAGGAGCCTCTCGTCCGCGTCCTGGTCAACGACCGGGTCATCCCGCTGCAGGGCTGTGATGCCGACAAGCATGGTCGGTGCAAACGGGACGATTTCATCGAGGGACTGAGCTTCGTTACATCCGGAGGAAACTGGGGAGAGTGCTCTGTTTAAGTTGGGGGTTGTTTATCAATGTTGTCACTGACAAACATATCTATTCTTCTATGCTTCTTTTTACTCTTTGAATCTTTCTTTCAAGCCCTTCTTCATTCATACAACTTAACTTAGTCCACACAAAAATGTACACAAAGAGCAGCGATATCCACCCAATAGAAAGAGATACAATTGCATATCCATCCACGAGATCTTACAAGTACGTATCCCCGATACCTCATACCGAGACACTATAATACCTCATTTATCAACTACCCTCCAAGAACATCTCATCTAGCACCATCCTAAGCAGAAATATCTTAAACCAGCATGGATCCTACATCATACTACCACAAAACCAGCTCCATACAAATACAACCTCACTCTACAACAGGAGTACACCCCAACCAATAAACACTTCATAACACACCCCAAAACCACAAACTAATATACAATTAAACCAGACAAGAAAGAAAAGCCCCCCCCCCCCCCCCCAAGATCTACTAAATCAAGCACTCCCATCCTTCCCTTCCTCCCCAGTCCCAGACCCCGACGGACGAACCAAATGCTTCTGACTCTTATTCAAATAAGCTAAACAACCAAATCAGCACTCTCCCTTACCCCAGTAACAACCCCCAAGACACAAACAATGATCAAAACCCAAAGAACAAGAACAAGAACAAGAACAAGAGAAAAGAAAGAGACTCACTCCTCTCGTAAAGCACATAAGACGTATACAACGCAATCGGCAACGCCACGATAGTGGAAAGCCATCTATAAATCACATCATTATTAGCAGCTGAATCCTGATCTTGAAATTCAACAAGGAGCAAGCATAATTGATGTTCGATAGAGGGTCCATAAACTCTCTCAAACCGTATCTTTTATCTTGAGATAAAATAAGTAAAACAAAAGGAAACGGGAGTAAAAAAAAAAGGGGGGGGGGGAGACAAAGAAATATACCGTCTGGCAGCAATTTTATATTCCTTCGTTTGCCGAATATCCCGGACAGCTTGTGGACTTTGGGGTCCTCGCCGGGGTGGATGAGGTGGACGTTGAAGGGATTGCGGGTTGACAATTACGCGGGGTTGTTGGTTAGACATTTTGTTTTTATTCTTATTATCTTTTTTTCCCTCTCTGTCTCTCTGTACGATAGTATTGGGCTCGGGATGGTATGTTAAAGTACTTATTCGAAGGGATGTGGTTTGATTGAATGAGAGATGGTTTGAGGCGGGAAAAGTCAGGTGTAGTTTATTTGCGTTTGTTTCCTTTTCTCGGGTTGATAGATGCCTCAGGCTACTATATTTCCTATCGATCTGTTTTTCTTGCTTGGATATCAAGTTCAATTCAATTCATCCCATTCTTGATTTAAAACAAGCTGATTGTAATAAATCCTATGCAGGAATACATACTTCGAACACAAACGATTAAACCCCGCAAGTAAACTAATTACTTCTAATCCTGGCCATTTTCCTCTGGTCGGATTTGTTATGCGTATGCGCGTACATTAACAAAGACGAAATATAAAGTAAAAAAAAAAAAGGGGAAAAAATGCAAGACTCACTGTACAGGAAGGAAAACAATAATACAGTCCCGTTTTTCTCTTCTCTTGTCCTATGTCTTGTCCAGTCACTTTTGTCATATACCATGGTGGACAAGACGGAGAACAGACAATACACGAGTGGGAGTAGAAGAGCACGAATAACAGCTGAAAGAGAAAAAAAAAAAAAAAACACCAGTGCAATTGCCTGTCTTATCTTTTGAAGAAATTTCCGCTATGCTTAGTTCCGATGACCGTTCATAACGCCGTGATAGTTCAAATGTCTAATGAATCAGGGGGTGTGACTCGTGGTCACTTGAATAAAGGATTAAAGTGGGATTTAGAAAGGGGTTAAGACGTATGAAGGGAAAGAAACGTTGGATGGAATTATCGTATTCAGAGGGTAGAGGTAGAGATAGAGGTAGAGGTAAGAGTGGTCAACCACTAGTGCTGCTTCGCGGAAGAACCAGGGGTCTGACCGGGATTGGGCTCATCGGGATTATCGGTGTTGGTTTTCTTGCGCGCATTGGCTCTGCGAGCCCGTTCTTCTTTGTGGTTCTGAAACTCGGCCATTAATGCTGCTGCGGCGCGACGACGAGGACGTCCGCCGGGGGTTGTAAGTGAGTTCTGATCAGCGGAAGGAGGAACGTCGGGGGTGGAGGTGGGAGCAGCATTGCTCTTCTCCTTCTGTCCCTGCTTCGGGGTCGAGAGCTTGAGGAGGCGTCTGGGGGTAGTTGTAGGATTGGATGGAGCGGTTTTAGGGCTCTTCGAAGGTCTGTTGCTGACCACGTTGTCACCGTCCGTCTCGATTTCAGAATGGGGCCGCTTCTTCGGTTTGGCAGATGTGTTAGTCGTGTTGGAAGCAGAAGGAGTTGCCGGCAATTCACGTTTCGAGAAGATCAGTTTGAGTTTGAGGGTCTTGGGCTTTTCGGATGAAGGCTCTGGTTCAGTCGGGGTCGGTGCCGATGCTCCTACCGTGTTCTTGCGTCTTCTCTTTGGCTTATGTGTACTCTCTGTGGTGGATTCGTTGGTCGAGGGAGCCTCGCTTGGGATAACGGGTTCCGTACGTCGTCGCTTCCGGGACCCAGCGGGCCTGTCCTGTTTCGAGCTCTTTGCAGAAGCCGGGGCCAGAGCGGGTGTCTCAGACGATTGCGAGCTGCCGCTCTTGCTGTGCCGGCCGATCAGTGCCTCAATCTGAGAGACTGACATCGACCTGTCAATGGCGATGCCCTTCTGCCGCGCTTCCTCGCGGGCCTTAATCTTAGCCCGTTCGTGATAGACGTCCTCCATCATGAACGGAAAATTGGTTGCACGAGGCAGGTTACGCTCTCCAATACGTGGTGGAAAGCCAAAGATACGGTCCTTCTCGGACTGTTCCAGGGACCTTAGGCGCACAGGGGGCTCGGGAAGTTGCTTGTCCCCATACGTGTTGTTGGGCCTGTACCACTCAAAATCAGGGCCAACAACAACGTATTCCTCTCCAAACTCGTTAATTCGACCTGTGTGCGTCCAACCGTCCTCGTCAGTCCACTGTTCTGTAGTAGGTTCGTCATCCGAGGGTTGCCTACTCTCTCCCTCAACCACCGCCGCAACTGCGGTAATTTCCGCATCCCCTTTGCCGTGATACTCTTTTCGCAGCTCTTCGAGCCAGGAGTCAGCCTCAGGCGCCGGCACAAAGTCGTCTGAAACGGCTGCCGCGGCCAATTCAAATATGCGGCGAGCAAAGGCATCCACATCTGGCTGCGGGGTGGCAGATAGTGCCTGCGTAGTTTCTGCTGGCGCTGTCCCTGGTTGCTCAGCATTCTTCTCGCCGCTGGGCGCCTTGTCACTCTGTTTCCCAGCCGCAGACGATTCCGCCTTTCCAGGCGTTTGGGCCCGGGGTCGGCGGAAACGCCGCTCTGATTCGAGGGACTCTAATGCCCTGATAGTGGGCTTTCGGGTCCGGCCGGACATCCGAGCGCCGGTAGAGGTAGTTGTGGAGAAGCTTGTAGGCGAGGCTGGTGTGTCCATTTGGCCATCAAGGCCGAAATTGTTGCGATACATATCTGCATCATAATCAAAATGGTAAGAGTCATCGTACACACCGACGGAGGCTCCTTCAACGCTATCAGCGATTTCATTGCCATAGGAGGCGGGCTCAAGCGTTTTCTGAACAAAAGACTCGAGAGACTTGCGGCCCAGACTCAGGGTCACTGTATTGCTCGGTCTCTTGGTCGCTTGCTGAGGCTCCGAGCTTCCCTTATCCGAGTCCTGAGAAGCAGGTTTGTCGGAGTCCTGAATGACTGGTTTACGGTCTTCGGCATCAGTATTGGTTGCAGTATCTGCTTGGGAAGATTCATTCGCTAGTTGCGAGCGACCTGCTGTGGATTTCCTGGCAGACTTGCGGTCTCTACGACGGGATCTAGTTGCCGTGGTATTCGGGGTTGAGACAGGAGTCCGTTCAGCTGGAGTAACTGGGTCTGCCGTTCCATTGGCCTGGGATTTGGCTGCTTTGGACGTTGAATTCACAGCAGGGGTCGGTTCGGGCTTGACACGAGGGGTTGACTTGGGCACTTGCTCAGCTTCGACAACTCCCTTAGACTTGCGGTCTTTGCGAGAGACTGGAGTGGAGAGACGAGTGACCAGTTTAGATTTGGGAGTAGCGTTTTCAGTGCCCTCGGTGCCATTCAGTTTAGCTGGAATAGACTTCCTAGTCTTGCGGCCGCTAGATACTGCGGCACCCATAGCTGGAGACTTGATGTCGTGTTTGGGGTCAGATTGAGGGTTGTTAGCTTCAGATGCCTCAGCTTGTGTAGTCACGGTCTTTCGCCTTTCTTGAGGCTTCTTCTGCAGATATGTGTGGAGGGTAGATTGCTCAGTTTGAGACTTGCGTTTGGGGTTAGAGGTAGAGGTAGGAGTGACAGCTTGATCACCCGTGGAATCACGCGCATTGACAGCGTCTTTGTCAGCGTTCTCGGACTTGCGACTACGACTACTCCTTCTAGAGGCGCTGCCAGATGGCTGAGCTGAGAACGATGCGTTCTTCGGGCCTGGAGTCTCGGCTCCTTTAGACTGTGGTGTCTTTTCGTAGTAGTTGACAGAGCGGTGTCTCTTAGCGCGCTGTGTTGACGACAACGCTTCTTCAAAAGAGGAAGTGATGGGAGTTGGAGGTAGAGACACTGCCAAACGAGATGGATGAGAAGTGTTGAGCTCAAGCTCTCGGGTTGCTTTTCTCGAAGCGCGAGAAGAGCTTCGTCGGGAGTTTCTCTTTATGGTTGGTCAGAGATAATGCGGACAAAGAGAGGTAGAGAAACACTTACAGAAGCCGAATCCAAGATCGAAGGCGCAGGAGAGGCCTCTCCCCGAGTAACAGAAGATCTACCAGCCACTTTTGTTGTTGTTAGCATTCAATACGAATGAGTGAATTATTTGACCACCCCCCGCCTAGGGTTGACTGTGCACTGAGCCCTAAGCAAACAAGACGAACAACAGCAGTCTCAAACAGTTGCCTCACTTTTTTGCAATTTACAAGCAGTTTCCTTTATTCCTCAGGTTTCCTCAATAAACAATCGGCCCACCGGTTTCTAGCAAAGTTCGACCATCGGCACTTCGGAATGCGAGGGTTACGGGTTCACAAGGACCAGCGGGGTATTGCTGGTTCTTTTTGGATCGCTTTCTCGACTAGCTTGTTTTCGCAGTACAAGGTATCCTGTCTATTCCTGTGTTGCAAGGTGAAGTCAGTGAAATGTGCCAAACTGAACAGCTGGTTCCAAACTGGGCCCAGGCAGGAGCGGAAACTCCTGGAAACACCTGAACACCATCAAATCTAGGATGTGGGTGTGTAAATGATATACAACGTCTCCTGACGTACCAATAAGCGGAGGACAAGACAGCGATAGCGACCAGAACGACTTCCAAGACAGCGTGCGAGGGTTAATCACAGGGTGGACCGTCGGTGAAGCGGAGGCGAAGGAGTTCTAACGTAAGGCGTACTGCAGTCGCAGGGGCGCTCCCGGTGCTAGATAAACGCAAAATAAAACATTATGCGAAGGTAAAGGAGCGACTATCGGGATGTTTGACGATTTAGCGGGTTGTCGCAGTAGTTGACGAAGCCATCAAGCCGATCATAAAGCGAGGAAGAATTGTTTGGCAGGCCGACTTGAAGACTCCGGGAAATTAGGGCTTGCAAAGGCGGAGGGTCGGTCACTGGACCGCAGCTTGCCCCAAAGCCGCGGGCGCTTATCTTAGCGTTTCTTCAGCTTGCGTCCGCAGGCCGACGTATTCAGGACACCTACGTCGCAATTGTTCCACTCCGTCCAGCTCGGTTTGTTTCAAGCGTCTATCTCTCAATCAGGATGCAGTTGTGGAATACTGTCCTCCAGCTCAGTTTGCTGGCCTTTACTGCCGCCCCGACCGCAGCGGCATCTGCGTGGGGGTTTACTGATGCCACCGTGTCAGTTCAAACCAAGGGAGCTGGGGTCGGTTCTGGATTGAAGGAAAAGTGCGTGATCTGTTTACTACTATAGAGCTTGGCTTTACTCAGTGAAATTGGCTAACATCGACCGAATTGACAGTATTCCTGACAACAAGGCCCTCACCAAGCCCGTCTCCCTCGGAAGTGCCGACACCTTGAAGGTGACTCTCACAGCCCGCGAAGGCAGCTCTGGAAAACGCGCGCACCAGGTTTTCCTCCTCCTCCAAGACCCGGAGACTGGACTCGACATCTCTTATCCCTTTAATGTGAAGGAGAATGGCAAATCGAAGGTTGAGTTGGTACGTGTGAAAGGGACAATTTGTTGTTTGGCATGGCTAATGCTGGCTTTAGACTCAAAAGGACCTCCCTATTCAATTCCTCTCCTTGGTTGAGCCACTTGACGCAAAGCTCTTGATCGGGTCTTTTGGCAGCGCGGAGGCCTACAATGGCGCTGCGTTCAAGCTGGCCGTTACCCGGAACCCCGATCAGCCAGTCCCAACTGTTGAGGTCTCGAGATACGGAAAGCTTCCTGAGATCCACCACATCTTCAAGGAGGATCCCCGAAGCCCGCCGATTGTCATCACCCTTGCGTTTGTGGCGATGGTGCTTGGCACACTTCCCGTTCTTGCTGGTGTGGTAAGTGTCCGATTACTCTCCTTCGGTCATTGCTAGTCTAACTTGTCCAGTGGCTATTCCTCGGCGCCAACGTTTGCCACCTCCCTAAGGCTTTGAAGGCATCCCCCATTTCTCATAGTGTCTTCCTCGGCTCTCTTCTCTCGATCGAAGGGATATTCTTCCTGTACTACCAGTCCTGGACACTCTTCCAGATCCTTCCTGCGGTCGCCGTGGCTGGCACGGTCGCATTCATCAGTGGCAGTCGCGCCTTGGGTGAAGTGCAAGGTAGACGTCTTGATGGTCTTCGGTAAATCTGGCCGGTACTGGATTTACTGGCAAAATCTTCGATGCGACTGAATACTGTCTTCTGTACTGTTTTCTAGATTACTGTATCAGCCTCCGCTTTCCAGCATATGTAACAGAGTTCCTAAGCAAGCCAATAGAACAGACACGCACATTGTATTTCTGAGAAAATCAATCCAAACCACAATTAAGAAACACATCCATTGAAATCGTAAAAATCCAGTAAACAAATGATTGTTTTGTCGCATGGATGGCTGACGTCACCCGAGGCGTTGACCAATTTCGGCTAGTGAAGTTTCATTCAATTCAAACATCGCCAAAAGCTCTCTCCGGTTTCTCCACGCTTCAAACATTGACATTGCCGATTCCCACCCCGCACGCGCTAGCCATTGCGGTATTCGGGATCCATCCATGGGTTCATCATCTTCGAAACCCGTGAGATCTGCCGCGCAGGCAGTCTCACGGCGCCAATACCCTAAACAACCGTCCACTTTGCCATCAACACCATCGAAGCCTCCGTCTCCCGGGCCTGCTTCAGCGCCCCGTCCGCCAAAGGAACAGGAAACAAAGACCCGTGCTCCCACGGGCCCAACATATCATTCCAAAGAACAGCCTTCTCTTACGAAATCAAACGGTACGTGCGTAATTTCTTCGCAAAAAGGAACAAGGAGAAACCACCGCAGAATCTTTCCCCTCTACCCCCCTCTTTCTTCCTCCCCTCAAAGAAACAACCCCAACACAAACTAACCCAAAAAAAAAAAAATTCAGCAATCGACCTTGACGGCCGAGATCCCGATTTCGCTGCCACCCTCCGCGGAATCGGCCCCGTTAGCCCAGCCCCGACCCTATCCAATTCCAGCACATTCGCCTCCGGAGCTCAACGCGGGGACTCCGTACAAACCGTCTTTCCCCGGGCGGCAAACCCGGCGTTGCTGGTGGTCACCGCGCGCCAGAAGATTGCTAAGGCAGCAGAACGAGAGGTGGAATTAGTCGGACGACCGGGTTTTACGGGACGGGAGTATCTGGATGCGTTGACGATCCGACAGGCGCTCTCGATGCGGGATCGGCAGGGTATGCCATCTGGGGAGATTGAGAGGCTCTTGCGGTTGAAGAAGGGGGTTGTGGATCGGTTGGGGAAGAAGGGAGTTGTTTCGGAGGTTGGTTGAGTAAATTTGAGTAGGGGTTGTTGGGACTTGTATATTATTGTATAGTATGAGCTACGATAGTGAGGCGTTTTATTGGGGTGTTTTGTGGACTGTATATCTCCCAAATCTATAACTGGTATTTGGCCTAGCTTGTACTATTAAGACAAGAACATACAACCAACATCGATGAAGGCATGTGTGTGTATTGAAAGTGGGTTGGAAAGTATATCCCTACGAGATATCATATCTAAATCACCAAACAGCGACACCAAAAAGTTCCAGGACGAATCCCAAGCAAACGGATAGCTGTGGGTCTTCATTCTTCAGGGGCCCAGCCAATAACATGTATGAAATTAGAATCTCCTTTTCTACGGGTCGACTGCGGAATTAGCATCCGGCGGCAGGGGAACAATGTCGATCCTACTTGGACCATGAACGTCCGTTACGAGAATCTACATGAGATATATATCTACCTGCTAACACCCTAAATATTCCACTCGAGCTATCGCATTTATAATGATATGCAGTTGTCGGGTGTTATGCGCCAGAACCCGTTCCGCATTCTATATCCAATTCGTATCCCAATATGAGCCTTGAGACTGAACAGTACTCTCCATGACACACACCTTGCTCTGTGCAGTCTTCGTACTAGGAAGATGTTGTTCAGTCTAGAAAAATACTCGAAGCCTGTTATATGTTAGCCAGATGGAAATTTGGAGAAAACCCTCATTTTAGTACTTGCAAGTGTTATATATTTAATTAAACTATGCTTCTATGGATTCAACGACAAGAGTTTGAATATGGAGATAAAGGGAATATCTGTAGGGTTCGCACAACCTAGCTGGTAGTTAAACCAGAATGACAACACAAAGATGATGTCTATACGCAGAAGTATCATCGCTAGCTAAATAATTGAAGTTGTGGATGATACCTAGGAAATAGTCTACTACGTTATGTTCATAATGAGGATTTTTAACTCTCAGGACACCTGACTGGATTTTGCAATTTGATGACTGATTTCTCCATTATATTAGAGACTAAGTTACACCCCCAGCTTGGTGGGTACAGACCATATCTAGAGAAAGTATGCTTTTCTCGGTATGGGGTATACGTTCATTATGAGACAAGTTCGTGCCAAACTATGTCTGTGGAGAGATCATCGAGGAATTGCTTGTCATTACGCGATATAGCCTAGTAAGTTTGGGATTGAGGCTATTGTTCACACACTTTTCTTATGCTTTAATTGCTGTGTTGTGGCTGGTAACTAGACCGACTATTTTATTTACTGATAGGAGATGGCCTGATTGTAAGGTGATTGAGTATAGAATGAGTAAGGAATACTATAGGTTGGCTCAAAAACGCGTAGAAACCTACCATAAACCGAAAGGAATTCATTCTGTTGCTTAACTCTAGATGAATGAACAAGTATGCAGACGGGAGTTGCCTAAGGCATAATGAACCACAATAGGGAGACGATAAACATTCGTGGATACGTAACCAGGATGTACTCATATCAACCTCCAAGCTCTGTTTACTAGCGTATGCAAAAGAATACTCCGGCTATTCATCGGGCGATAGTGTACCAGGAAGGTCGAGCCTCTTTTACCCGAAACCGCGAATGCCCACGTTTCAAAATTCCTAGCGTAGTTTGATAGGATTCAGACTCCATCCACCCTCTCTTTTCTCCTGTTTTCGAGATGCACCACCAGCCTCAAAGTCAAAGTTACATTCAACTTCAGGTACGCATCGAAGCCACGAGATCAAACCCATTCAGGCAATTCCGATAGATCCCAGGACATCACACGCCGCATACCCACGTAGTTTTAGTCATGTATAAACAGACGTCTCGAAAGGCTGGAATCAGGCATCTCGAGAGCCTGCATCACGGCATCAAGCAAGGCCGTCGTAGTATTAGCATCGCAAATTGATGTGTTGTCAAACCTAGATCTGACTCATAAAGTATTAGTCCGCAAGATATCGAAGACATTCATCAATCTGCACATTTGTTTGGATAACGAAATATATCCGATGATATGGCTGAGATCAAATGATATGCAATAATCCCACTAAGGCATGTTATAGATGCTCACGGGAATACTTCGGCGTCAATTTTAGATCCAGACAGTTAGACAATCCCTATGAGATCACATCATGCTATATAGGGTTTAATAAACTAAAGTTGAAGTTTAGCAGAGATAGTCCCGATAACAACCGAGAGCCAGTCAACTTACGGGTCGAGTCGAAACAAGGCGATCCACGTGCACATTATTTGAGCCCTACCACGACCACCAACGTGACATCGCCATAGATCGCCTAAAGCAGTCAGCAACCACTGAAAGAGGCGAAACTACAGTGGAGCATGCATCCCTTACATAAAAGTCGAGAATTAGGCATCAAAATTGGAGCCCTATCTCTCTCTTCCCCGTCATGTGTTGGTTCCCCTTGGTCGGGCTATAGCCTATTGAATGACTTACAGAAAGATGTAGGTACCGCGTACAGGCTAAGTATACCAGCCTCGCCCCGTGATTAGCATTGCCCCAGATTCCAAATGCCTAATACGTCTGTAGACGGCCTCAAAACGGCAATCCCTTGAATATGATCAATCCAGTACGTCGGTTCTGGTAATCCCGGGATTTCCCCCATCTTCTTTTGATTCTCGATCGGAGTAGTGGTCATCAAGACATCATGCATCCTCAACAATTGACGATAATTGGACTGGTACAGACATGGCCCGTATGTGGACCGTTGGCTCCTGTTGAGCGGCAAAAGGAGACAGTAATCCATGCCTCAAAAGACAACGTGATTGATATGACTCTATCTAGCGGTTTAGCTTGGTCCAGAGAGCAGGGGTCTTGATGTCATGGTATGGACAACCATGGATACAACCACGATCGAGCGTGGTTCTTGTGGTCCGGGATGAATGTGGGGGGAAAGTTTGACTTTGAAAAGTGGGGATTTAATTCCCCCGGATGGACGATTACTTGGCGGGGGTTGGTATCAATGAACGGTATCGAAGTGTACTCGTTTGCCGGGAAGTCGGAAGCAAAATCCCTGTCTCCTAGACACTTCATTCGTAGGAATTCGAATAACGCCGCGCAAGTGGTGCTTTAGTTCAGAATTGCCCAGTGGGTCATGTGCGAACACGCGCATCAATATATTGTCAGATCTGGCACTAAAGTGGAAGATGATTCATGCAAACTTAACGTTACTCGTTAGTTGTCAGTCGAGACCGCCAAGGATCACCTCCCGCAACGTTCATCGTCAATCATACTTTCACTACGCTCAGGTGGACCATTCACTTGTTCCAAATTAAGGCTCATGCATTATGTATAGGTACAATGTCGCTCTAGTTAATCGACTACGACCCGATCCAGCAATTGCAACGCTGAGATATCAACCGAACCTCATCCTATCAGTCCCCAAGCATGCCAAAACACAAGAATCATGATAAGACCATCAATTTCAAATCCGATCACGCTTGCTTTCCCCGACGCCATGCAGTAGTAGAAATGATAATATGAAAAATAGAATATGCAAATGAAAAGGAAAGAACCATTCAAATGTCATCTACCAAGCGGCGTGACCTCCGTCCATGCGTAGATCGCTTCCAGTCATGAAGCTGCTGGCGTCACTGAGAAGGAAGACGGCAGCGCCACGGTACTCGTTAGGGGTAGACAGACGTCCCAGCATGTTGTGCTTGGGCCATTCTTCGCGACGCTCAGGGAACTGGGCGAAGAGCTTCTCAACCATGGCTGTTACAATATAACCGGGCGAGATGGTGTTGACTCGAATGTTGTACGTGCCCCACTCCATGGCGAGGTTACGGGCAAGTTGAAGCACTGCAGCCTTGCTAGCGTTGTAAGCAGGGCAAATAAGACCCTAAAGAGGCAGACCAGTCAGTAACTTCTTATGTAGGATAGCAACCAATGACATGAACCGAAGGCCGGAGTGGCGTGAGCGGGTTGAGTTTCGTGAAACCCGAGACTCGCAAAAGACCCAAAAAGGTGGGGAAGTTTTTGATTGAAGCAAAATAAAGGTAAGACGAGAACGTACCCGATTGGCAATAGTACCACTCATGCTCGCGATTAGTGCGATGCTACCTCCATTGCCGAAACGAATCATTTGCTTAGCAACTGCCTTGGAAGTCATAAACACACCAGTGACGTTAACTTCAAACATCGTGTTGGCGTCCTGGGCCGTATACTCGAGGGCGGGAGTTTCCTGTTGAATGCCTGCCGCAGCGACCAAGCCATCCAAGCGACCCTCGGCATCAGCGATGGCTTCAATAGTACTTTCGAGAAGTTCGGTGTCACGGACGTCAATGCGACGGTATTGCAGCTCCGTTCCTAACTCCTCCTTGGCACGTTTTTGGATTTCGTAGAACTCAGGGGACTATTCAAAGAATTAGTCTTTATGTCAATGTATTGATGATTAACCCTTAAACAAGATCACTTACGGGTTCCTCCAGGCGGTCCAAAGCATATACCTTGGCCCCGGCCTCCAGAAGCGCTTCAGCCTGAGTTAAACCAAGGCCACGGGCAGCACCAGAGACGCATACGACCTTTCCAGCCAAGCTGAACTCGGGCATTCTGTTCTTAGAGCCGAGGCAGGGGGCCGCCTGTGTGGTAAGAGCGGCGGGGGCAATGTCGTTGGTTTCAATGGAGACAGACATTGTGCTGTTTGATGATACGTATTAAGGGGAAATAAGTATCTGACGAGAAAGGTAGGATCAACTGAAAGTAAGCGCAAAAGCTCAGGTAGTGAGAATTTGTAAATTATTTGAAAGAGTTCTCTTTTCACTAAGGCCGGTAGGGAGCTGGAGCGTAGTGAGTAGAAGATGTCAAGGAGAGATTCAATTGATCATGTCTAATCAGTCACTTCAACACGCCGAGGAATGTCATACTTATATACTTCACCATGGACTTTTGGAGGCTGCTGGGAGAAAGAATGACTCTGGGTCCGGGATAGTCATGAGGCCTCACATGAGCAGACAAAAAGTTGGTAAGGTACCCAAAATAGGAAGGCTGCGAGGGAGCCATAGTGGGTTCGGTCCAGACCCGGGGGAATGCATGGACGAAGAAGACCTTGGGCCCACCATCAGTGGTCACTTGGGCTTTCTTCGTGGCAAGAAAGGGGAATGTTGATCACCACGTTTCTACTATGAAATTGATACTCCTACCTTAATCCTGCATGGTGGTATTGATACCCAGGACGGGGGCTATACCTTCAACACAAGAACACTAACTATGATTGTCATATCCCCCCCAAAAAACCACCAACACGCTACCTAGTGATGAGTTTAGATACGTAACTCGAATTAGGCACTGCCCAGGACAAATCAAGGTCAACTTCATTAACGTGGATGTTCGTAGAAGTTCTCGCGAGCATGACGGGCTGATGACTACAGTTTGATATCATAGTTATCCAGATGCCCTCCGAGGACCACATTATTTTGCGCCGAGAATACAATAGTACCACTGAAAAAAAAAATAAAAATAAAAATAAAATAAAATTCAAGTACAAGATACCACATGGTACGTATCATGGCTGTGGAAGTTTGCGATTGTCAGTGGCGGACTCGGTTTCCTTGTTTGGGCAACCCGGGCTGGGGCAAACCCGGCTCGGCGGACGGAAGAAGCTTAAGGCGGGACTGAAGGTGGGCAGTCTCCAAGGAGTCGGTAAGTGGGCGGTCGAGAACACTGGGGGAGCAGCGGTAGTGAACAGGGACAGGTCACGGGGCCATTTACATTGTTCTGGAAAAAACACAGTTCACTCTCTGGAACATTCGTTAACCAAGCCCGCCCGCCCATCTGGGGATGTGGTCACGGGGCATCTCGAAGATCACCCTGGTTTCCATTGCCAATCTTACCGTCAAGCCGCCGATCGAGTAGTAGGTACAGTAGGTTTTGATCTCTTACCGGCATTCATCAAACACGCAGATTGCCGTATGCAGAAGATGGCTCTGGCCAAATTCCACTTCAGTCCATGATATCCCGAGTGATCCTTAGATTTCCTGAGGTACAATGGGATTTCCGGTACCAATCACAACTTTTACAACTTTTACTGGTTTGAAATCTCTTCGAATTTGCGATGTACAGGATCTCATTACTAGTACTAAATCAAGTCCCTGGTCTTGTTGTAGTACAGAATACTATATACGTCCGGCTATGTCATGAGCTCCACTCTCATTGGCCAATTCGCATTTTCTTCGACGTTCCCGGTCCAGTTTGTTTTGGCCAGATTAAACATCTTGGGGCTCTAAATATTGCAGCTAAGATTTAATGCAGTTTTCCATTAACGCTACTAGTATATATACAGTAGACCCGATCGTCCACAAGAAAAGGGATTGGCAGTATTGGGGACCGTGACCACGGGTCTATATTTAGGCCATATCATATGACCAGTAACATTCAGCAACCGAAATATAGTTAATCTAAAACACAGGAATATTATTATGAACAATGATGATAAAAGGAGGTTGATTTATCAGTTCGGCCAACCGAGATGGATCCAGGAAGGTACCGTGTGACCATCAAAATTTTGAAAATAATAGTGTGGCGCATCACTAAGGGCTCCCCTCCCGGAGACGATGGAACACAATTCTCGGTCTTGATGAATTGTCCTTAGTGGTAAGCTATTTGCCCTTTTGGGAACTTCCGGGGAATTGCCTTGAAAATGACGGCCCCAGTTTTTTGGTTCGATTTGACTCCCTCGGACCTCCAGACCCAGAGACCCAGAACCAGAACTGAACCCTTAGAATCGTCTGTGCCTGTCCCCGTGAGCATCTTATACTTTATACTATTGATAGAAAAACTAGCAGATTATTTGACAATTGGAGTTTATCTTGTATGGAATTGTCCAATAATGGCTGCGGTGCTGCACAATCGGACCTGAAGGACCATATCCCATTAGTTGACGCTTCTGCATTTCGCCAGGGATCAGCCATCTTAGAATTTTCTTATCTTCAGAACAGCAAGCTAAACTTAAATCGAATAAACGATGGCTCCAGAATTTACCCGATAGTCTTAGCATTCTCCGTGAATTTTTATATACGCTTTTGTTTCAAGGTCAATATCTAGGAAACACACCATGCCCCTCGTGGCAGTACAGAGACTGCCTTCCAACTGAGCCAAGCATATACCACTCCAGGTGATCCGGGTGATCCGCTCCTGTCGGACCGATCCCTTGAAGACAATGTAAAATTACATAAGGCGAGTCACGTTGACATCCCTGTAACTACAACTATATGATCCCCAGGTTCCAGAATCTCACCAGATGTGGTCTGTGCTTCGGCCATCCCTGATTCCCCGGACAGAGAATGGTCTCGATTTTTGAGCCTAACTGCAAGAAGCCCACGCTGCCCGTGTGACCGGCAGAGATTTGGCCCACTTCCCTCTTGCTTCGAATACAACTGTCAAACAATTAGCCATACACCCATGCGGTCAGACTGAAGATGCTTCTAGAGTACGGTGAATCCCAATACTACCTCGTACCACACAGATCAATCTACCACCGAACAAAAGTACCCCCCATATATCTACCATTTGCTGACTTGGCTCCCATCATACTACATCTTCAATGCGGCTATACTACGATGGCCTCACGGAGCTGTCTAACACTCGATTTTAGTCCGCCCAGACCAGAGAATCAGAGATGCAGAGAACGCATCTTCCAATACACTCCACTTTGACCCCAAATTTCCTTATAATCAAGAGTCTACCCCGCTTTCCGCTCAAACCTCAGATACGATTCGTTCAGAATATGACGCGTACCCTGCTTTCTAGAAGTCTCCACGATTGACATCAAGTTTCTGACCCGGGGGGAACTCCGATCGTCAGGAACCCCACGTATAATACGGGGTATTCCATGATATAACGAATGGAACTAAGCGCAGCGTTTACGTGAGCTTCGAAAACCGTCGGGGCCAGGCCCTGTTAGGCTCTATTGACCTCGTCTCGAGGCCCGGGGTTGAACCCTCATGACTTGTCATGTCGTACGGTGCTGACAACTGCCCACACGATCCCTTTGAGAAAACATATTAGAACTCCCATGTCAAGTCATATGCCTACTTGCACTTCTTAGGGGAACTGCCGTGCCAAGCTTGAGATACAGTCATTGTCTCATCAAGATGGCGGACAATCGTAATGCAACAACATGGAAACAGTACAGCCATAGATATTAACGCTTGAAGCGAGTTAATAGCGTCAAGATGCTTCAAACTTCGGGTATGACTGTTTAGCCCTGGAGTATCGAACAATAACTGCAGATGACTTCCTCGGTAGCATGTCAGAGACTTGAACTGTATCACGCAGCTTTGTCTTGACTTTTTCTATGTCTTCGTCGGACATTTGCGGTTGGTAGTTTATCTTACCACAATGGGCGATAAGGCTAATTGACTCAAGATAATAATATCCTGAATTCACAGAATTCCCTTGCGCATTTTGAGGATGAGCTGGACTCATCGCTTGGATTAGGGTCATCTAGGGAATGACTCGATGCAATTTGAAGAATTTCGGGAAACTCTCCCAACTATGCAAAACACTAGAAAACATGATGATACAATAACAAGCATCCGCTATACCCTGATGACATGGCAAGATCGATGTTGTGACTCAGCCTCCTAGGTAAGTCGTAAGGCAGACAAGAGCACTAGGCATCAGCCCCCAAGGCACTTTAAATACAGCATCTTGCCCGGCACACCCAGCCTCATAACGTATCCGAAACACCACACCGCATCACATATTCCCAACCATGGACCCCCAGCCAAATCCCAACTTTCTCCCGCGGACTGCACCTCCGGGAGCTAAATGCGATAAAATCGACTTCGCAACCTCCGACCCACCACTACCCGAATACAAGAACCGCTTCGCTGTAGTAATCGACAATATACTCACAGAAGAAGAATGCAACGAACTAATCCGTCTCGCGGAAGCCTCAACGCTAACTCCCCAGTCCACAACACCGGTCTGGGAGCGCGCCATGATCAACGTCGGTGGCGGGCGACAAAGACTCGTAACAGACACCCGCAACTGCGGCCGTATTATCTGGGATTCGCCCGAGTTAGCCGACAAGCTCCTTAATCGATTAATGCCCTTTCTTAAAGAGCTCGAGATCGATCGGCTGGAGAATCGGCCCCTTGTTACCGGGCTCGCGGGTCGGAATAAGACCTACGAGTTGACGAGACTGAATGAACGACTCCGGTTCCTCAAGTATGAAGGTGGCGAGTACTTCAAGCCGCACTGGGATGCGTCCTATACCACCCCTGATCGGGAAGAGAAGTCGTATTATACCGTTCATTTGTATCTGAATGGGGATGGGGAGCAGGATCTCAAGGAGCTGATGCGCGAGCAGATCAGGGTGGAGGAGAAAGGGGATGTTAACTTGGATGTTGGGGGCAAGTTGCTTGGTGGTGCTACGTCTTTTCTTCCGAGGTATGAGGAGAAGGAGAGGCAGTTGAGGGTTTTTCCTAAGATGGGTTCGGTGCTTGTGTTTCAGCAGAATGATTTGCTACATGGTGGGGATTCGGTGCTTCGGGGGACAAAGTATACTATGCGGACGGATATTATGTATCAGCAGGTGTGAAGATGACTATCTTGTATCGAATAGAGGTGTCAAGGGCTGTTGATGGATCTTGACGAGAATGGACGGAAGAACTACCATCAGGCAGGCTAAGGTGAATGCCCTATTCACATCTAACTTATTCCAAGTGCGTATTTTCAGAACTTCAGAGCTTACCTTAGATCTTTGCTGTTCTATTGAAGTCAATGTAGTTGAGAGGATGCAGTATAGGTTTGATCAAGGTCTGGATCTTGTCAAAGCAATATGCTATGCATAATACATACTACGGGGATCAAATTAAGTATTAATAAAAAGGGTCATGTACCCGAAAAACTCCCAGGACCAATCTCTGCGCCGATACCTCAGCAATACCAAGCCAATCCCAAACCATTTGCAAATCCAAAATGACGCCATGAGTACCCATTGTCCTCTTTACTCTGAAATCCCGTGAGAAACCACCTAAAAAGGTGCTCATACGTGCCTGAACTCGATGTAGTAGATCATACAGTTCTAGTTTGAAAAGGCTCGTCCCATAGTGCCTTTTCACCATATCACTGCAATACCATTGTCCCAATAAATCCATAGCTCCATCATCCCGGTTTCTCAAGTCGAATGGTTTGCTCTTTAATATGATTAGGGCAGAGCCATCAAAATGAGCCTGCAGGATCCTGACATTTTGAGGGCTCATCACAGAAAACATCAGGATCTGTAGATGTTACTTAGCTAGCCAGACAAGCAACAACAGAAAGACGACTCAGCCTAGGAAGTTCCATAAGCCCAGCGCAGAAATGTAGGGACATCCCCTTATCATTATATTATTCTCATCATTCTCAGGGAACTCAGAATCATCATCTTCTTTTAAGTGGACGCAAGAGCACCTTGGCAGGAACGGGCTCAAAGAACCTGAAACGAAGATCGAAGGCCGGGGCACTTTGGGCGGTAAAGTCCATTGGATAGCATCTGACATTGAGTGGACTGATATTTCCATTGATGATTTGGCTTTCCATCTCCAATAAGGCCTTGACTGTAGGCCTAAATTCTCTGGAATTTTCATCCTGAATGATTGTAGTGTAGTGGTCGTGGAATAATTGGTGGCAAGGGGATTGAGGACTTCATGCATAGCTCTCGATTCCAATGTTATCATACCGCCATGTGAGACTAGTTTTTGTCTTTGGTGCTTCGAGAGACCTCCAAAGCTTATCCTGTCTACATAATTGTCTGAACAAGGATAACATTAGACACAAGCTACAGTATCTTACGACGGTGGTGACAACAGTCCAAGCCGTTATGCCAATAATGAAAGCACATATTATTATTTCCTCTTTCAACATTAAATACATCTACGACTAAGACAAGATGTCACTTAACTAACCATTCGAGACCAAGATACCTTTCTCGGGTAGGGTATCGTTTAGATATCATGGTTCTCTTCAACTCTTATGTATCCGCGTTAACTGTCCTCTTTTGTTGTCGTTATGGAAATTGTACCAGTTATGCTTCTTAGGAAGTTATGCATAAAGGAAAAAGATCGGAAGAAAACTATAGGAAAGAGAATTAGGTCGAATTTTAGTGGTTTTATCTTTATGGTTACAACGGATGGATTGTAACAAGACCTTGGCAAGGTATCTTACATTGTGGGAACAATGAACTCTATGGAGTACAAAAAGACAGTTTCATAGTATAGAATGATTGTGAGATCTAACCAATCGTTTACATGAGCGCTGAACGTCAAAAGTTACACCGCACGTTGTCAAGCTTTTGCCAAGCATTGTATGTAAACTTGAATCTTTCTGTCCTCCAGACTCCTCCTCACATGAAAAATGACTTACTTTTCGAGAAAATGGAGGCATGTCTTGAAAAGCGGAATGTACCCGATTTATCTTGTTGCCTACGTTTAGATGCATAAGAATTTTCATTCAGGGAAAAAAAAAAGTTTGCATCGGAAGAGAGCATAGCCACAGCCTGCATCCATGGGTTTGGTCTATTGATTGGAAAGTGGCCTATCAGAGACTGCGGATGCGAATCTTGGATGCCTGATATTCCACTTACACTCGACTTTTTCCCTTCATTTCCGACTGACCCACTTGGCTCGCACTCGTATTGGGAACTTCTTCATGCAGTTATGCCTGTATAATTTGTGCCTGACATGAGCACACTATCTATTTTTATGTTCTTTATACTCAGTATTTTTAATTGTTGTATTATCTTTCTTTCTTTTTTGGCACGAAATAATATGCTCACAAGGAACCCGATCGGTAAAAGTGAAGCAATTGCAGAGCTTATGAGAATCTTTCTAACACGAAAACAGATTGATAGTCACGCTACTCAAAAGAAAAAGTTCATTGATCAATAATAGTTCTTGATCGCCCATGCCAGTCAGCCACCATCGCGGAAGGGCCGGACTTAGGCCATCCTTTGACATCATGGATCGAACCTGATGAAAGCCCATTCCTCGGTTCGGGCTCCCCCAGCCCCTAACCGATCAAATCAAATTCATGGTCTTCCAGTCAGAACACTCGAAACACTAGTTGGGATCGCACCAAGTCCCTGGTGTGCTTGGCCAAGCTTCCGAGTCCCCGTTCCCAAGAACACCCCTAGTAAAAGAAAGGAGTGGCCACTGCCTCTCTCAAAATTTGGCCAAGTCTCCGAGCAACTCCTTCGACATTGCTCGACAAAAACGTGTCGCTCTCACGTAGAACTGTGTGCGACCACTTCATATCAGTATGAAACCCACAACAGCTGCAATTGCTTTAGCTGGGTTGCTGTCTGGTAAGTTTATTAATCATTCTGGTTGTGGTTCCCGGGTTACTACGATCGTCGCGCATTTAACCTATTCTGACATCGTTGATGGTCCGTAGGCGTGACAGCGGCCCCAGGCCCTCATGGAGAAAGGATCGAGAGGATTGATAGAACTGTGTTGGAACGTGCATTGCCAAACGCTCCCGATGGATATGTACCGTCCAACGTCAGTTGTCCTGCGAATCGCCCGACGGTGCGGAGCGCATCATCCGGGCTGTCGCAGAATGAGACGTCGTGGTTAAAAACTAGACGGGAGAAGACCCAGTCTGCCATGAAGGATTTCTTCAACCATGTCACAATTAGAGACTTTGATGCTGTCCAATATCTCGACCGCCACTCGAGTAACACGTCCAATCTTCCCAACATTGGTATTGCGGTGTCTGGTGGAGGTTATCGCGCCCTGATGAACGGTGCCGGAGCGATCAAGGCGTTTGATAGCCGAACGGAAAACTCCACGGCCACGGGACAGCTGGGTGGCCTGCTACAGTCGGCGACATATCTGGCTGGTCTGAGCGGTGGTGGATGGCTGGTGGGGTCGATCTACGTCAACAATTTCACCACCATTTCGGCACTACAGACCCATGAGAAAGGAGCTGTCTGGCAGTTTCAAAACTCGATCTTCGAAGGCCCTGACGGCGATAGCATTCAGATTCTGGATTCTGCGACTTACTACAAGCACGTTTACGATACGGTGCAAGACAAGAAGGATGCGGGATACGAAACCTCTATCACTGATTACTGGTACGTCATGGATTCCCTCGTGGATACGAGCAGCACTAACAGGCACTGGTTAGGGGTCGCGCTCTCTCTTATCAATTAATCAATGCTACTGACGGTGGTCCAAGCTATACTTGGTCGTCCATTGCCCTAACCGATTCATTTAAGCAGGCAGAGATGCCGATGCCTCTCCTCGTTGCTGACGGTCGGTATCCCGATGAGCTCGTGGTCAGCAGCAATGCTACTGTCTATGAGTTTAACCCTTGGGAGTTTGGTACGTTTGATCCAACGGTTTACGGGTTTGCACCTCTTGAGTACCTGGGCTCCAAATTCGATGGTGGTTCTATCGCCAAGAATGAGACCTGTGTACGCGGATTTGACAACGCCGGCTTTGTAATGGGTACTTCGTCAAGTTTGTTCAACCAGTTCTTCCTGCAGGTTAATTCAACTTCCCTTCCCGATTTCCTGAAGACGGCATTCTCGGACATCTTGGCAAAGATTGGTGAAGATGATGAGGACATTGCTATCTATGCACCCAATCCATTCTACAATTGGGCCCCTGATACCTCTCCAGCAGCCCATCAAGAGGAACTGGATATGGTGGACGGTGGCGAGGATCTTCAGAACATTCCTCTGCATCCTTTGATTCAGCCAGAACGTCATGTCGATGTTATTTTTGCTGTTGACTCCTCCGCTGATACTACTTATTCTTGGCCCAACGGCACGGCTCTCGTTGCCACTTACGAGCGCAGCCTGAACTCCACTGGCATCGCCAATGGAACCTCGTTCCCCGCGATCCCTGACCAGAATACTTTTGTCAACAACGGCTTGAATACGCGGCCAACATTCTTCGGATGCAACAGCACGAACACCACAGGTCCTACGCCTTTAGTTGTCTACCTCCCCAACTATCCGTACGTGTCTTACTCGAACTGGTCGACCTTCCAGCCAAGCTATGAAATCTCCGAAAGAGACGACACTATTGCCAACGGATACGATGTGGTGACCATGGGGAACAGCACTCGTGATGGTAACTGGACGACCTGCGTCGCTTGTGCCATCCTGAGTCGGTCTTTCGAACGCACGAACACCCAGGTTCCGGATGCTTGCACTCAGTGCTTCCAGAAGTACTGCTGGGATGGCACTACGAACTCAACCAACCCTGCCGAGTATGAGCCCGTCACGTTGTTGGATAGCGCTGGTTCCGCTCTGTCCCCAGCTGTCATCACTACTATGGTAGCGGCCAGTGCTGCTCTTTTCACAATGCTGTGAGAACCGGAGCAATTCTATTGGATGTGGATTTTTTTTTTTTTTTTTAAGTTTCCTTTTCTCTTCTAAGGAACTATTTTATATATATTGCGATATATCCCGATATTTATTTTTTGCTTCTTTTTAATTTCTTTCTCCTGTGTCTCTCTGCTTGACTGTATCTAGGTTACATCTTACAGGCATTGGCACAGTCCTTTTTGGAATATATTTCTTGGATTGTCTAACGGTGGTGATTTTGTGAAGGCTTCAACAAAACTGCATGTAATTGGGACCCACGGTACGATCAAGTAATAGCAATTTTAAACATTAATCCTATATCTAGCCTTCAGTGAAGTACTTAATTAATTAAACTATGAGAATAATTCAAAAGTGCTACCAAGTTAAACTCATAGATGCAATGATGCAACAGCATTCGCACTCACGTGCCCGATGTGGGTCCAAGCGGTTGCCAGAGAAACAGACGCCATGACCCAAACAAGCAACCCATGACAAAACGCCCACTTAGACTAACGATCGGCGCCAACCCGCCATAAGCCAACGACAACACACACCTTCAATTCTCCTACTTTTGCCGACCCTGCATATGCTTTCGAAGGTTTTCTTTTCGAGGGTCAACAACTGAAAGTACCTCGACTAGGCGCACAATGAGTATTGCAGTGTGTTATTAATTTTTGTTGTTTGTTTTTTCCCCGCCACGCCAAATAAACATCGCCAGGCCGATCCACGACTTGTTTTCCGACGACGGATTGGTTGATATACAGCTACACAATGGCTCGAGCTGCGGTTATTCCGGCGGCGTCGCCTCCACGCGCGACGCGTACGGCGAAGCGGACTACCACTACCACCAGCAGGGCTGGAGCTAAGCCTGCTGCGAAGACGACGAAAGCAAAGGCACCCACGTCAGCTACGGAGGGAAGAAAGCGGACCGCCCGGACAAATTTATCGTCAATGAGTAAACCAGCTGATGATGATACGGACGAGGATACTGATGATGAGCTCGGAGTAATGAACACGACGGAGAGGTCCTCGACAACGAAAGCCAGAGGCAGGCCCGCTGGATCGACTACTGCCACTACGGGTCGTGGTAGGAAACCCACTACTGCTACATCTACTAGGTCAGGGACTGTGCATGACAACCAGGACGGCGAAACACATGCAGATGGGCAGAAAAAGCGGGTCGGCAGACCGAGGTCAAAACCGGCGACTGAGACAGAATCCACGACTGCTGCACCGAAACAGAGAGGTAGACCTAAAGGGTCGACGAATGCGAAGTCGACCACTGCTGCTGCTGCTGCTGATGCTCACAAGAAGGCCCGCGCCCGAGCTGCTGAGGACACATCGTCCCAAGGGTCTAAGGAGGTGACGATCACGACCAATTCTACATTGATGAGGTCGAATCTGTTGCGAGGCCCAGCGAAGAAGAAGACAGTGACCTTTAAGGAGGTGTCGGACTCAGATGACTTCAGCGAACCATCACCTCCACCACCTGCAGGGAGAAGGCGACCAGCTGAACGTCCAGCGGGCCTTGCCGCGAAGCCTTCTCGAAAGGGTACCCCGACAGCTGCTAGAGGTCGCAAGCCTGCGGCGACCAAGAAAGGTGCCTCCAAGCCTCTTTCCCCGAAGAAAGCAACACAAGTCGCGAAGGGAATCTCCTCGTACGCTAGCTCTGACGGTGAGGATGATGAATTGAGCACCACCAAGGACCAGAATAAGCTACACGTCGACTCCCCCAACAAACACGGATCAGAACAAACCGGACTCGGCTCCCCAGTGAAACGAATTAATTTCACTTCCAGCCAACCCCCCAAAACTGTCGACGAGAACGGACAACCTACTCTCCAACCACCGAAGTCGGTCGATTTCAGCGATGCAGCTTTGCTGTCTAGCCCTGCTCGACGACCTCCCCCTTCTCCATTTAGTTTCAGCATCAGAGAGACTCCACGGCGCGGCCTTGCTTTGCCCGAGGATCCAAAGTCTATCGCTCAGCCTAACTTCACACCCACAGACAACTCGCCACTGAAGTCGTCGCCCAGGAAAGCAAACTTGGATACACCGAGACGTGGTAATCTCGGCTTCGATGATCTAAGGCCGCTTTCCCAGCCGAATTTCACACCCGGGCAGAACTCCCCGCTTAAGTCTTCACCTAAGAAGGGGCTTTTTGGAGCCTCATTTATGTCACAACCGTCCCTACAGGAATCTTCAACACCTTTGAAACGCAGTTTGCTTCAGAGTCCTGCGAAGAAGATTGTCTCTCCGTTTAAAAGTTCTTTGCTATTCTCGAGATCCCTAATGACTGAGCCTCTGGAGTCTGATTCCAACCGGGGAAAGGAGTTGGAGACGGCCCCTTCCCCCAAGGTTGCTGAAACTTCCTACCATAGGTATGACTCAGAAGAGACCTTGGAAATGCCGGATGATGAACACGTCACGGAAGCCCCAGCTAGCCGATATGATGCCGAAACGCCTGAACCTGAAGCCGAGCCTGAATTTATTGACGGATCTAACGACGTATCGTATACCCCGCAGCCTGAGAAGGAGGATGAGACTCATGTGCAAAACTTTACACATACTGACGAAACTGATGAAGATGCTGTGGGAGCTCTGGATATAAACCACGAAGACACAGCAAGTGAGCACGAAAAAGATATGGAGCATGTCGACGACGGTCCAGAAGAGCCTCTGGACCCTGTTGCCATGGATCGTGAAGGCACTGTTGAGAGTGATGGAGTCGACGTGGGCCTCTACGAGCTCTTTGAAGGCCAGAACGAGATCGTCGAAAATATTCTCATGGAGGATGATTTCGAGGAGGACAATTTTGAAGAGCGGCTGGAAACGTATGTGCCAGAGATCCCTGAAGATTACACGCTTTGTCTTGAGGTCGCGGAGCAGGATGCCTATGAGACTGCTCAATATGTGGAGAGCATGGCTGATGCAGAGATTGAGAATGAGCACGATACTGCCGAGGATAGGATCTCGGTGACGTCGGATGTGGATGAGGATATCCTCACCCTTGAAAATCAACAGGGTGATGAATCTGAGGAAGAGAGCTATGAATCTGAGGATGATTTACCGAACGAGGAGCCGGTAGAGTTCACAAGTCGCGAAAGTATGCTTGAGGGACTCGAAGATGTCTTCACTGAAGATCCTGCTGGCACCTCTGAAATACCTTGCGATGAAGAAACTGAAAATCGTGCTGAGACTCAGGAAGTTGCGGGTGACCAAAGGGTCGACCCTAACTTGGACTATGATGAAGAAGAGGTCAACAGGCTCGATGATTACGCGTTCGATGAGGAAGAGGCTACGCTTGTCGCGTTTAATACTCCCGGGAGACCACACAGACAAACGCCTCGGCGTACACCACGACGGACATCTAGAAGAGTGTCTGAACGGACACCTAGGCCGACATCTACTCAGAGTCCTAGACACACACCTGCACAAGGGTTGCGACAGACTCCTGAACAGACGCCTCAACAGACGCCTCAACAGTCTCCAGAACAGATGCTTAGAGAAACACCTGAACCGAGCCCTCAACCCCGGGCAGCCACCCCTGAGGTATACGCTCCTTACGAGATCGAAGAACCACCGACTCCCCAGGTGCCAAACTATTTCTATTTTGTCCCACAGTACTTTGCCTCGTTCGCGCCTCCTCGTTTCGCCGATGACTACCGTGACACAGCAGTGGAAACGAGCTTTGATGCTGCCGACAATACGACTACGGCGGATCTTCCTACCCCAGACGTCCAGCCCTCTCCTCAGCTCCAAAATCATACTCCGGGTCCGGAGAAGGAAAGGCATCAACGCCCCCGCTTCACGCTGTTGGCCGAGCAGCTCAGCGAGTGGAAGGCGAGTAGCCCTAAGAAGACTGAGCAAAGGCGCTCTGGACGTCGGGGCATCTTCTCCCTTTCAGGCAGTCTGAGCGGCCCTAGCAATGTCAACACTACCCAAGAAGATGTGTCTTACCCCGATCTCTCAGCCAATTCACAATCCCCAGTGGTTGATGAACCCAAGCCAAATGAAGAACCTGTGGCCACCGAGGACGAGTATGATTTGGTGTCGCCAGAAATGGCTCGCTGTGCTTTTGAGGATTTGGAGAAGTCTCCCGGACTTCCTATGTTCGAGATATTTAGCGACGAGGACCTTGTGGAAAACAAACAGACTGATGCCCGTGAGGACACGCAAGTTTCCATTGTTTACGAGAGCCCGCTGCGTCCAGCGGCGTCTATCCAGGAAACGTTGGATGATGAGAAAGAAAATTACGAAGTTCAGCTTCCCGCGCCGGCCACGCCAGTGCGGGGCAAGACCAGCCCCTTGCAAACATTCCACACGGTGTCCAAGGTACCCTTGAAGCCGGAGGGGGAAGTATCCCCTTTGAAGGTGTCCCGTAAGCGAGGCCGCTCTCTTTCCATCACATCGCCGACTCGCTCCTCTCCTCGACTTCGCAAGTCTATCCTCGCTCTTCAAGAGGACATTGATTCTCTTCCCCCTCGCAAGGCACCCAGGTTATCGTATAGTACAATGCCACAATTGCAACCTACCCGATCGAGAAGCAGCTCCAAGGCACAGGATGCAACACAGGAGGTTGAACGGAAAAGGGCTCCTTCTCGGTCTCCCAGCCCTGCCAAGTCCCCCCGCAGGCGTAGCAGCATTGTCCAGCCGACTCCCATCGGAGCCCTGCAAGGAGCTGTCGTGTACGTGGACGTGCATACGACCGAAGGAGAAGATGCTAGTGGGATCTTTGTGGAGCTTCTGCAGCAGATGGGTGCCCGATGTGTTAAGAACTGGTCCTGGAACCCCCGCTCGAGTGTGTCTCCCGATGAACAGGCTGAGACCAGGGAAGGCAAAGTTGGCATAACTCATGTCGTCTACAAGGATGGCGGTGTGCGGACTATGGAGAAGGTCAGACAAGCCGCCGGTTTGGTCAAGTGCGTAGGTGTTGGCTGGGTCTTGGACTGTGAAAGAGAAAACAAGTGGCTGGACGAGGCCCACTATGCCGTGGACAGCTCAATTATTCCGCGTGGAGGTGCCAAGCGCAGAAAGAGCATGGAGCCCCGCGCACTGAGCAATATAAATGGGACTCTTGTCAAAGCCGATGCAGGGAGCAGACGATCTGGTGTGGGCGCCGCCGATTTCGCGCGAACGAGCACATCCACTGCTCGCGATGCGCCTTCAACTCCCAAGAGGAGCAAGAAAACCGAAGCCGGCTATCCGGGAATAGACCCGAAATATTTCCAAACACCCAAAACTCCTGCTTTCACCTTCAACATGGACTCCGTTGGCATGTCCCCAGCAACCCCCTTCTTCCTGTCTCAACGGTCGAAACTTGTACAGCAGACCTGTCCTCCAAAGCAGATCCGACAGGGACTTTTCTCCAACGCCGGGCCAAGTGAGGAGCAGTCACAGAAGCTGCGGGTGAAATTAGAGGCAGCCAGACGGAAGAGTCTTGCTTTTAAGCCCAAGATCGGGAGTCCGTTAGTACCATAATTGTTTGCTTTTACCTGGTGTTTCGTGCATTGTCTTGGATCTGGATTGAGTTGTTTGTTCTGTTTCATAAATCATACCCCTAAGCAGTTGAATTTTGTATTGTACAGGTGACAATTGGATATGTTTATTGTTCAGTTTGGTCTTTGTAAGTTGCCGTCATTACGGTCCATTATATCCCGGGCCATGCAGTACCTGTAGTGCCAACATTATGTGCGCACAACTATCACAACAAGAACCCAGTACAGAACAGTACAATGCTACACTGAACGCAGCAATACAGCACGACACTACTCTATAGCCCAGCCTTTTAATGTGCACCTAAAACCAACCCCATATAAATAGCCTCCTAGCCTAACCCTATATCTTCCAAACCTACCTACCATCCTCAAACCGCAAGTTCAACCCACAACCTCCCAAAAACACAAACATGAATAATCGGTGATTTCAAGTGTCTGATGTCTTAGGCTTTCCTCAATTTTCTGGACAATGTTGCCAGGGACGCTGTGGGTTCGGAGCTGGTTTGCGGGATTTGATGAGTCTTGATATTTGATCATGTTCAGATAGTGTTGGGTTAACTACTGTGAGTATTTATTGAGTCCATTTGTATGACACACTTTTGTATTTCTGGTCATTATGTCATATGCTTTCATACTTTTGTACTCCAAAGTATTTGGAGGAAAGATAAGTTGGTAAAAAGAAACCCGAGATATATCATCCATATTCCTCGTTAGATCGAATTCGTCTCTTCGTCCATCTCGCGGTAGAATCCAGCCACTAAGAATGCCAACTCTAATGCCTGCTTCTCGTTCAATCGGGGATCACAGAATGTCGTGTACCGCTCACTCAAGTTCTCCTCTGTCAAACCGCCAGCACCACCAACGCATTCCGTGACCGCCTCACCGGTCAGCTCAAGATGCATGCCACCAAGGAACGAGCCAGCTGCCTTGTGGATTTCCAAAGCTTGATGCAGCTCAGAGAGAATGTCGGTGAAATGACGAGTCTTGACGCCGGAGGGCGTGGATTGAGTGTTGCCGTGCATGGGATCGCACTGCCAGACGGGCAGGTGACCGGAGGCCTGGACGGCGGCGATGTGGCCGGGAAGATGCTGGCCGATCTTCTGTGCACCATAGCGGGAGATAAGAGTAACTTTGCCGATCTCGCGAGTGGGGTTCACGACGTCGAGGATGCGCACGAGTTCGTCCGGGGTCATGCTGGGGCCAATCTTGATGCCGATCGGGTTGGCGATGCCGCGGAAGAACTCGATATGTGCACCGTCAAGTTGACGGGTGCGGTCTCCGATCCAGAGGAAATGAGCGGATGTAGCGAAGTAGCTTTGCAGGGGTGCAGGGGCTGTGGTTGCCCCGGGGGCTTGTGCAGGGTGGGTGGTTTCAGTGGCTGGGTTTTTCAAAAGGCGGGTTAGACTCTGCTCGTATTCAAGTAGAAGACCTTCGTGACTTGTGTAGATGTCGACGGTTTCTACACCGCGGTCGGTGTCGATCCCTACAGTCTGCATGAACCGCAGGGCATCCTTGACCCTGTTGACGATGCGCTCGTATTTCTCCTTGATAGTCGGTGTGATAACATGACCAAGTCCCCAGTCCAATGGGGAGTGCAGATCAGCCAGACCAGAGGTTAGTGATGCGCGCATGTAGTTGAGTGTGGCGGCGGAATGGAAGTATGCGGAGACCAGCCGTGATGGGTCTGGGGTGCGGGACTCCAGAGTGGCCTCGAAGCCATTGATGTTGTCACCACGGAATGAGGGCATCTCAACGCCGTTGACAACTTCCATGGGACTCGACCGCGGCCTGATAACGTTAGACCGGTTTGTCTTTCTAGTGTATTATAACCCAGCCAAGATTCAAGAACTCACTTGGCAAATTGCCCTGCTATCCGTGCAATACGGACGACTGGCTTATTGGCACCTGTAAACGTTAGTATCGATATGGGTCAAATGGACAGAAAACATACCCCAAATCAAGACTAAGCTCATCTGCAAGAGCAGCTTAACTTTAGCCTCGATCATATCTTGATTACAGTAGTCAAACAGCTCCGCACAATCTCCTAATTAATGGATTAGCGACTAAAACTCGTAGAATCAGTGAATGGACGAAATTCGTACCTCCTTGGAGTACGAACGCCTTGCCCAATGCCACATTTTTCAAGCTTTTCTTCAAGTTGGTGATCTGTGAGTTGAGTCAGCATCCTCCGAGTCATACTAGTAGTCTACCATCGTGAAGATTAAAAGGCATACCTCTTGCGTGGTGACCAAAGGAGGCAATTTCTGTAACTTGTCCAGAGCTGACTGAACACCTTTGGCATCATTGTAAGGGACATCTTGCTTGATGGGTTTCGAAGCCCAGGCTAGTGGGGAGTCCACAGTCAGCATCCAGGGCGGCTATACGCTATATGGCGGGGAAAAGGGCATATCCGGGGGACGCACAGCTTGGAGTCCAAGGGTCCATGATGTGGAGTCTAAGGATCGACGGCTACCTGATGATTCGATGGCTACTAGAAAGAGGGTTTAGACGGATAAATTGTAGGAAATTCAACGAATTGACGAACGTACGTGCCAGATGACCTTCAACTTGACAGGAATTTGTTCCACCACATTTAGCAAACAAAAAGAAAGGAAAAAACTGCCGGTTATTCGCGGCCTGAGTCACACTGTGCCACTAGTCCCAATCGGGAAGGCACAGGGTTAAGGCAGCTTATCGGCGTCATCTCGTTATCAACTTCAACATCTATTTAACTACTATGACAAGTTCCTGCAGATCCCGTCCCCACAATCTACCCTAGGCTTGATATAAGCTCTTTGTTGACTTGACTAAACCTTACTTAAGTTTACTGACCATGTCTGACTCCATCCCCTCTGCCCACTCGGACCCTGACGCTGTCGACCAGCATCGCCCCGCAAACGCGGAAGACCGCAAAGCCGCCGCTGCCCTTTCCTCTCTCAACCCGAATGAAATCGGTACGGACATGGGCGCCAAGCCGCCTTCATCCGCCGACCAGGAGGCATTGGGAAAGGCGATGAGCCGGTTGGAGATCGTTGCGGGGCAGGATGCCGGCAAGAAGACGGCCGGGCCGCAGAAGGAGGCAGAGGTAGTGAGGAAGAAAGCCGTGAAAGTTACCTCGGAAGATATTAGCCTCTTGGTGCGTTTGCTATTGTCATTCCTTTCCCAATTATGCCGGGTAGTCTGACATGTAACACTGGCTGCAGGCCGAGCAGTTAGATTTAACAAAGGTCAAGGCGACAGAGCTCTTGAAATCCAACAATGGCGATGCTAAGCAGGCGATCAAGGCGTTTATAACCCCTGCTGGAGCTTCGATTGTTACCTGCTAGCTGGTCTGAAATTGGAAGGTAATGGATACTTGGATGTATCGCCAGTAAACAAATGCTGTTCAGCATGGCTAAGTCATAACGACTGCTTTTTCCCGGATAAAAGTTAATGAATTTAACGGCCTGCGATATTGAATCAACTAAATGGAATGGTATCTTATGCGTCTATCGTATGCGTATATTGCACACTCATAAGATCGTGACAGACCATGCTGTCCAGATCTTATAATATATGCCATGTATAACACCCCATCAGGAGTCCTCTTCTTCGGTCTGACCCTTCTTCCGCTCAATACCCTTATCCTCATAAATCGACCAAAGCAAAAACCAGCCTACTATGGCCTCCACCGCCAGAGCCCACCATATGCCGCCCACCATGTTGTACTTAAGTCCCAGTCCTAAGCCCCATCCTCCAATCAAAGGACCAAGAGTACGCGCGCCGCTTGCGATGCTCTGCGCCACTCCATGAATAGTTCCCAGAACACGAGGGTCCGTGACGCTGTTATTTACAAGGATGATCGCAGCCGGAAGGGCAAAAGTTCGCGAGACCACCTGCAACCCTACAACAACTGTAAATGCAGGCCAAACCAGCCACGGGTATCGCGGTATCAGGACGATAAACGGCATCAGCGTGTAGGCTAAAGGCGAGAATGGCAGAAACGCGCGGAAAGAAGTCAAGGTCCCCAGGCGGGACTGAACTCGAGGATAGATGAAAATCTGCAGCGGAAGCCCGATGAACCCGATAATAGCGGTGGCAAGGCCAACCCGAGAGGATGGCAATCCCAGACCGCCGCCGAAATGGAAGAGACCATCTCGGCTACCCTCCGGAGCCCGAGGGGCAGGCAAGAACACGAAAGTCATTGAGTTGCAGGCACTGGTGTGGAACGCTAATAGGAAATGCACCAGCAAGGTAAGTAACACATTAGGCGTCCAAATCTGACGAAAACTAGGACGATCGCCACTAGGTCGAATGCGTGAGCGAGCCGGGCTGGGGGGTGCCGATCTGCTGGCTACACTTTCATCAATGTAGAGAGATTCATCGTCAGCGTGGCTAATAAGGGGACGGTAATACTGCGAGATCCGACGACGGGAGAAAGTATTGGCAAGTCTTTTGCCTAACTTCCGGCCCCAATCGCTTCTGTGCCGAGTAACCTCATGAGTCTAGTCCATTAATTAGCAACTTGGATAAACGGGGTAAAACCTGGTGACCCTTACCTCGTCTAATCCGAGGATTACGGCCAACAAAGAAGCGAAAATGTATATGGCACTGAGAAGATTCGGCAGTGCAAATGGCCAATGCAACATCCACCTCACACCATCTCTGCCCCCTAAGAACGACCCAGGTCCGAACAGCTGCGGATAGCTCTTCACAGGATCAGCCAGCATGCCTCCTAATACAGGCCCGATAATAACCCCGATATTGAAACACATCGGTAGCAGAAGAAACGCCCGAGACTGGAACCTGTAACGTCTTGTTAGGCGCCTTTGTAATTTGGACCGGGTCGAATATTTAGGCAGCTGCGCGAACTCACCTCTTCTCTTGAATGATCTCGGCAATCATCGTTCTCATCACGCCAACATTGCTATTCAGAATACCACCTAAGATTCGGAACACCACCGCGGAAGCAAACGATCTCGAAAATCCGAACCCGAGAGACGAGATACATGTTCCCAACAGGCCAATTATGAGAACCCGTTTCCTGCCCATCCATTCAGTATCCGCCAATCGGCCCCACCAAATAGCAGTCACAAATTGCGCAGCAGTAAAACTACCTTGCAAGATGCCTGCTTGCGCCGAGATAGTTGAGTCAGGAAGGGAGGGATCAAAAGACCGAAGTTGGTAGAACAGATACGCTTGCAAAGACGTCTGGGCCAACGGCTCGGATAGACGTGCAAAGGTCAGGATAGCAAGTTGGCCTTTTTTAGGTAATGAGCGCCATGTTACTGGTTTCTCACTGTGGGATTCCGCCGGATCATTGCCGCTGTCATCTTCATCTTCGCTGTCGTCGGAAACACCCCGATGCCGGCGACTTACCGAGACGCCGGTAACTGAGCGATCTTGAGTAGAATCACCGTCGTAAATAACGGTATCCACGCTTTCAGTATCGTCATACTCATCGGGATTGTCGTGGTAAGGAGCCAGAGGATTATTACCTTCTGGCGGCGACTGAGTTTTGCGGTGTTGAGAGTGTTGGGAGTCGGTATCTTCGGTAGTAATACCGGAATCTACATCGTCGATAGGGCGAGGTGGAATTACACGCAGTCGACTCGGTCCCATCAATGAGAATTCGGAATGATAAGCACCTTATGACACACAATCGTGAAACCTAAAAATGAATTATAATAACAAGGTCAGGTGGCGATTTGCCGTATAGGAAAGGAAAGTTTGGTTGAGTTGGGGAAGAAGATTTAAGAACCCGGAGAAGAAGCATGGCGACATGCACGCTATACCCGTTTGAGTCTATCAGATCAACAGTCTGACGAGTGGGTCCGATAAGAAATGTATTACTTCAAGTAGTGTTTTTATCCAATTCCCTATCCCACATCATAATACAGCAAATTAACAATGCCTAACATACACCAATGCAGCCGGACACGGGACGCCATTTCCAGGTTAAACAGAAGAAACTCAAAGTAAAGAGGGAAACAAGTTAGTTACGAGATCAAAGTCTGACGGAGACCGCTCAGGTCAATCGACGCCCCAGGCTGATCTCAAGTAACAAAGGCCTTGGCCAAGACACCCTGAGAACAGTCAACGCTTAATAAACGAACGGACACTTTTCTCCGGGATTAATTCCTTTCCTGATAAAGAAAACGCATGGTTCTCAGCCCAGGGACATACACATTCAAGTCAGTCTTAAACCCGAGCTTATACCATGCCTCATATTGAGAGGAAAGAAAGGATATCAAGATAAAGGGGAAGGGTACAGGAAAAAAAAAATAATAAAATAAAAAGGAAATGGTAGAGAAGGAAAAAAGACGACATCTGTCGTCTGATAGGTACGAATACTTCGACAATATCCTCAATCAATTGCGATTGCTGCCACCGGTCACATCCATTGTACTCTCAATTCCTTCCCATGGAAGGTCATCGTCATCGTCAATGTCATAATCTGTTTCAGCATTTTTCTGCGACGACTTATCACTCGTAGCAGTCACATCGGCTCTTGCGGCTCCCACGTCAATGCCAATCGATTGGAGAGTCACCTCCATCTCCTGCTCAGTCATCTCCTGACCTTTACTCTTCTGCCCCTCAAGAACATCGTACAGGGCATAAATCTGGTCGGCCTTCATGTCGATGTCCTTCAGCAGCTTCTCGATCTTTGCAGATAGCGATTTCCTCTGGCGTTTGCTCAATGACGCATCCAGTTTGTTGTACGCCCCCTGGTACGTCACGAGCTGCATCTTCAGATGTGACAGCTCGTCCTCCAACGCCTTGAGTACTGTTGCAAGGGCAACCGCTGGCGGTTGTGCAGGGCGCATGGTAGGTTCTTCATTGTAAATGGACGGTTCTGGCATTCGCTCTGACACCGGAATAGGCTTAGGGATCTTCACCGACTCTCGAGTGTGGTCACAAGAGTCACCGGGGATAGAACGCTTGCATACCGTGCAGTTCTTTCCATTGTGCTGGGTGGCACTGTCCAGTGCCCGTTGCGCAGACTGGGGCAGACGCGCCGGATTTTCAGCTACTAGGTCAGCGCGATGAAGCGTGATGTCAGGCAGGATGAATGCCGACGTCATATCTTCGGAGACTTGGCGCCTCCGGCGAGGGGTAGCGGAATGGTCTGAGTGTCGCCTAGGACGTTCAATAGGCACGGACAGGTTACTGTCCCCTTCACTGGCTTTGGAGGTTGCTGTCACGTCGCCCATAGCCGAGGCCGGTCTCATAGGGATTTCCTTGGGTTCTTTTAGGGACGATTTCCGAGGCGCTGCCGACTTGGACACACTGCGACGGGTTGTGTTTTCTGTTTCGTTAGAAGATTGATCTCTGGAGGTATTTGATTGTCGTCGTTTGCGCGCCAATCTTTCTTCTTCTAAAGTCTTTCGCAGCTGGGCAATTTCACGTTCCTGTAGATATGATAAGCTTCGGATTGACCACATCATGGTATAATGATTACTTACGTCGATAAAGCTCAGCAAGGTCAAGTCCTGCTCCACCCCAGAGGACTTCCTGGTGTTCCCAGTTGCCTCAACGGTCGAATCAATAGGTTCGGTGACATCTACTTCTTCCACAACCACACGCTTGACACGCTGCTTACCCGTGTTTGGCTTCTTGGTCTGGCTACGCTGTCCTGACCTGCTCGTACTGGAAGATGGCTCCTTCGATCGCGGTACGTCAATGGTAAAGAGAGCCTCGTCCGCTCGCTCCTTCTCAAGTCGTGAAATTTCGTTGTCCACCTGGGTAGAAATTCTCGCCTTGGAATCTTCCCGGCGCCCGGTCTTCGATCGTGTACTCTTACTGGTGAGCTCCTTGGTTCCCCGACTCACATTTCTGCTATGTGTGTTGTCTGGGCTGGCTTCGGTGCTTGCTTCAGACGCGGATGTCTGTTCTGATTGTTGAGTCTCTTCACGCTTTTTTGAGATGAACGGAGCAAGTTTCACCAGTTGTGATTTTAGCTCCGCATTCTCATGCCGAAGGTCCTCGATCTCATTTTTGAGGTCCTGGGATTCGAGATAAGCTACCCCTAATTGGGAGACCGCCATATCACGTTCCCGGTTCAATCTTTTCAATGCGGTCTCTTGAATCTCTACCTTGCGCTCTACAACGTCCAGCTTGTTCTGCAAGGCCAGGTTGGTGGCATCGAGTTCTAAAGCAGTCCGTTAGCAACAGAAGAAGGTAAAATGCAGTAACTATACTTACTTCGGTTTTCATTGGCCAGACGATCCTTCCGGTGGTCATCATCATCGGTATCGTATTTGCTCCGGCTATGTTTATCCTTTGCGCGAGGCTTGCCGGCTTTGAGGGTAGCGTTCTCGTTCTTGACTTCTTCGATCTTCCTTTCAGCTTCCGCCTTGGCTCTCTCAAGCTCTGAGACCTTATCCTGGAGAAGCCTTAGGGATACAAATAGAGCCTTCTCATCTTCCGGGATCGGGACAGCATCAAGAGGGACATGCTCACGGGTCAAAGACACGTCAGTAGCATCATGTGGAGGAGAGACGAAACGTGTTGTGCGCGCGCGATTTTGACGCGTGAAAACCGGCGTGCCGTCTTCGTATACACCAGAAACCAATTCCGAGAGATTGGGAAGATCGGGGAGCAGGAACGACTGCTGCGTAGCAGTATCCCCAGCCGTGCTCATGTACGCCAGTCGTGAGTTGGCGGGTTGCTTTCCTTTTCTGATTTCTCGAGCATATGCTTCCTGCGACGCTTTTTCCACGGCGTCGGCAATCTGGTGGCTTCCGAAGCGTGTCGTGCGCGCGTTGTTCGTGGCCGCCGGGGGTCGTTCGTCGCCGAGAAAAGAGCCCTCATAAGAGTCGCGTACCTTTGCATGCATGTCGGATAGCGTCCGCCGTTGGCTGCTCGCCTTGGATCTCGAAGTCTGCGGGTCGACATTTTCTTTTTGAGCGAGACTGGCCCGTCTCAACTGAGCATCTTTGCGAAGATTCTCGCTAGCCGCCCTGCGTGACGTGTTGCGCGTGGCTGGCTTCTGGGGAGTAAAGGTAGGGTAGTCGAGTCTCACGGCGGGCGACGAAGATCGGACACTGTTCTCGATGCTCATATACGAGTTTCGCGAATCATCTAGACGACGCGCGGGTTTTGCGGGGCCCCGTCCAACCTCAACAGAGAATTCATCATCCTCAGGGAGATCGTCTTCCTCCGATGAACCCGCCTGCGAGAACTCGGGGAAGTAACGTTCTAACATGGAGGAGTTAATGGCGTAGTCGGGTTCTTCCTCATGATCAGATTCGTGGCGAGACTTTCCAAGGCTGTCCTTCATGTCTGGAAGCTTGGGACTATGGCCGACTTCTTTAGTGGACGCGAAAGCTTCGTGCTCTAGATCGAAGTCCGAGCCGAATGACGCGAAACTGTTCGCGGTATGCTCGCGCGACATGTTGGCTGCGAGTGTGGCGTGAAGTAACTGGATGTGGTATCAAAGCAGAAAATAGACCCAAAATAATTACAATTCTGAGCGAGACATCAAAAAAGACGCTCTAAACTTTGTTGAGATCAAAGCGTAGCGAAAGGGAAAGCTTGAATGGCGCGTCGGCCACCGCGACTTCCGAGTCTCAGCGGCAAACAATAATCAACACAAGTAAAAATTAGTATTCAATGTGCGCGTTGTATGCGATGGCAAAATCAAGTCTTTCCGCAGTCAACTCAATGGCATAGCTGAATGCACTGGACGTGTGAATTGCATGGATGGGTCTAGCGGGTCGAAATTGAGGAGGTTGGGATGAGTTGTTAGTGGTTTGTTTACTTGGGTGGAGTTCAACTGCCGCGGCGACCGCCTTTCGTGCCGCATAAATCAAATGTTCCACGTCATTGATGTACCGCATTCTACAAAACATTCTGGGGGATTAAATAGATTTTCTTTTTTGAAAGCAATTTCCGGGTATGTCAATTCATTTCGGTAGTAATCTTGAGGTAAGGTAGATACTGAGGCCCAGGCAGGCAGGCAGGCAAGCCACTACTTAGCCCTATGCAATGCTAGCAATACTATCAATACTATCAAATATTGCCTCCATGTGCGCAGGATGGGGTCATTCTCTCGCGCGTTATCTGCGGTTCAACTGATGCCGCCATATTCAGAGATTCCATGGCGCAACTTCAGTTTTGCGGAAGGTGGTCACCAATGACGGACGAGATGTGCTATAAACATTAGGTACTCTAGTTTCGAATGACACTATCTATTGCTGTGTCTAAGGATCTAAATACGACATGGCTAGCCTGTCTACTTAGTCCGTCCTCCCAACGGAATGGTGCATTAATGGTGCGGCATAGCATGCATGCCGATAGTTTGCATGGCTATAGAATGACAATTGGAGAGCATGTCATGATTTGAAAAAGATGTTGATGCTATTTTTTTTTTCCATCTACATTATAGTACTATTGTACATTGGTTTGGCAGAACAGCCAGTAATACATAAAATTTTCAACCCCTGCGCCCAGATCTAAGGAATGGGGGCGTAGAAGCTGAACTTGCCCTCCGGGTCATACTTTTGCTTCAACGATCGTAGGCGGTTCTGACGCCACTGCTCGCTGCCGTACAACTGCTCTGGTGTCTCATCTCCATAGGCGTAGTTGACGTACGCGCGCATGTCCTTCCGGCCACTCGCTTCGTGGAGAATGTCGCGAAGCTGGGTGCCCAAGGCACGCGCCTGACGGTCACGGTCTGGGCCGCCAGGCAGGTAGTTGATGAGCGGGGCGACAAGAAGGTGCTCGCTGCGGAAGGCAAATGCACTCGACCGGCTGTCGGTGTTGTGAACACCCTGGGTAGAGTAGCCCTCGAACTGGAACATTGAATTGTTGAAAACCGAGTTTCCACGGATGGCCGGGGCGAAGATATCCCAGATCTTCTTCTGGGCCTGAGGATCATACGATTCTAGGTAGATGGGGAACCGGGGGTTGGAGTAGCCGGCTTTCTGGCATGGAATGGAGGAGTCGGCAATGCCGGTCCAGGTAGCGAGGTCCTTGTAGGTGCCGCTGTCGGGCACAACGGATAGCGGACCAATATCATGGAAGGGTTTGGTGTACTTGGAGTCGACGGTCTTTACTCCTTCCTGGATGATGTAGAATACAATGACAGGCTAACGAGGGTGAGGTCAGGGTATGACTCAATGCAGTGATAGGTTGATGTACTCACGTTGTTAGGGTCTACAGTTGCGTCGTTCATCCAGTAGGACCAGTTGATGACACCTTCAGGCTGTGTGCCGTTCTTCAAGAGATAGTCATTGGCGGCCTGGTACACAGCCTCGACCTTATCACCGCTGAAGGTAATAGTCTCAATAGCCCAGTCACGGTGCTCAATATCAAAGATCTTGGCAGTAAGCGAGGTGACAATGCCGAAATTATGGCCTGCTCCCTTCATCGCCCACCAGAGATCTGACTTTTCGTCAATCGTTATGAGGGTTCCGTTGGCAAGAACAACATTCATGGAGAGGAACTGGTCTGAAGCAAGGCCGTGGTGTCCCTGAAGCCAGCCATGCCCGCCTCCGAGTGCCGGCCCGAGAAGACTGACGCATTCACAGGTTCCGGTCACTGTTTCAAAAAGTTAATACCCTGGATAGACTGGATTGAATTTAAGAGACTAAAGACTTGCCTGCCTGCTTGTCAACTTTCCACAGCTCATCGGTAACAGTCTTGGAGATGGTTCCACCACCGAACTTGGCAGTTTTCCCATCTTCGGCGACTTCAACGCTGCTCAGTTGACTTAAGGAAATCTCAATGCCGTGAGTCATTTGGCCCAGGGTGGTAAGGGCTCCGTGGGCGCCATTGTATGCGAGGAAAGGTAGGTCTTTCTTGTTGGCGAATTTGACCTAAACAATTTGCATAGTTAGCAATCAGAATATTGTTACTTTCGGTCTCATCAAGGAAGGATTACCGTCTCAGCGACATCGCTCTCGGTGCCTGGAACCACAACGACGGTTACATTGGGTTCAGCCAGTGTAGACCACCGTGCGGATGCGTCGTTGAACTCAGATGAGCCAGGGAAGTACACCTTAGCTGTGCTGGAAAGCTTGGCTCCAAGCTCCTGTAGATCGGCATCGCCCCGCGGGCACAGGCCATTGGCCCAATCGCGCGCAACAGGCACACTGCGGCAGGCCGAGGCCATTGCCCAGACGGCGACGGCCGTGAAGGCCTCCATCTTGAGTCGATACATGGTGACGAGGGGGTTTCTGGAATGCCAGTCAAGAAACTCTCTACTGCCTCACAGCCGAGCAACCCCTGCAAGCGGGCTGCGGCACTTATGTAGGAGCTACAGGAAACATTGGCGATTAGTTCAGGGGGGGGTCGCGGGGCAGCAGCAACGGTTTGGTGTGGTTCATATGGAATAATGGGTCTCGGAATTCGAGCCAGGAGTAGTCTAGTTTGCGTTGTTATTTTTCTCCGACCAAGCAATTGTATCGTGCGTTGGCGCATATCTACTATATGAAAGTGGGCCTTGTAGTAGTAGTAGTCGGACCCAGTGTCATCGCCCCATTGCGGGCCTGGGCTGCCGGAATCCGGAACTTGGAAGACTCGGTCGGGAACTGTCAATGCGATTTAATCCCCCGTTGCGTCCCACACCCTTTACATATCGCGCCAGCTTGCGTTGCTTCCGGTCGCCTCATGTCTGTTAAACGAGAATTGCCCTTTCATGAGGGAATGGGGTATGAGAAATGAGCAAACGAGGAAACGAGGAAAAGTCTGCACAAACTTTCTTGGCTTGATTTCTTCAGTCAACACGTAATCCATCCTTCGGTTGGACCGGTGCAACGGTAACTGATTATAATTGATTAATATGGAGCATCGTCGAGGTGGACACACTATAGTGGGATCGGGCGATTGGCTCATGCGCTCACGACCAACCCTAGCGCTCCCCTAGTACATATAGAAACTGTTCGTTTGCAATTTCTCCTCGGCTAGAATAGATTAATGGTGTTATGTCATATGAGGGTTAAAGAATTGGAAAACAAGCGTGAGAACTTTCGATATGTTCCCCCCCCCCGAACCTGCTGTTGACAAATGTCGACGAGGACCGCCCTGGGATAAGAAGCGACGCTTGCTGCGCAAGATGCTCAGTCCTGCTGTGGTGGAGTTATGGACACTATATTCTTTTGGAGTGGCCATAACGCTGCTTAGAACATATGCTCGATGCAGGGCCGTGGGATGGAAGCAATTCGCGGCCGACGACTACTTGGTATGGGTCGGAATTGTGCGTATTCTCCCAATTGACCGCATCAAACCTTCGACCAATGCTAATTTGCTGAAAGATATTCTACACCGCGCAAACGGCTCTTGCATATAGTGTTAGCAGTGAGGCCCATGGCCTGGCGAACAGTGGAATGACAGATTCCCAGAGGGCGACACTCTCTACTGAGAGTCCAGAATACCACCAAAGGTGCGTCGCCTCAGTTGACAAGCATAAAGCGCCGTGGAAGCTAATACCAAGGCGATGGTAGAGTGATTGGCTCAAAAATCCAGGTTGCGGGCTGGGCTACTTATATGGCGTTGATTGCGTCCCTGAAGCTGTCCATGATGGCCTTCTACGTCCGACTCACAGTATGAACTCCAATATTGACCACTGCATATTCACGCCCAGTCACTGATATCCCACAGAATGGTCTTGGTCACCGCTATCGCATTCCAGTTTGGATTGGATTTGCGCTTGTTATTGGGTCGTTCGTGGCGAGTATCATCGTCATTCTTGCAGCCTGCCGGCCATTCCACCATTACTGGCAGATCTACCCAGATCCTGGAAGCAAGTACCCCTCACGCTTGATATCTGACGCCCTTTTAACCTGAAGTCCGTCACCTTTAGATATCTGTCAACCCGCTATATCCGAAGCGATCGTCTGGGTCACCTTCATCGCTAACATTATCACCGATCCCTACCTCATCTTCATACCAATCCCCATGCTGTGGAAATCTAGCCTGAAGCTCATCAAGAAAATTGCGACGACTATTGTGCTGGGCGCCGGTGTGTTTGTCCTCGTCTGCGCCACTCTCAAGAGCGTCTTCCTCATCACGGTACGTCTAGACATCTTCCCTCCAAGTAGAGCCATTTCTAACGCACGTCACCAGGAACTGCTCAATGGCGCCGAGATCGCCAATTCATGGGGCACGCGCGAGACCTTCGTCGCGGTCGTCACAACCAACCTCCCGATGATCTTCCACCTCTTCAGATCCTGGCTCACAGTACTCTTCGGAAGTGCCTTCCAATCAACCGAGAAGACCTCGTACAAGTCACCCTGTATCGGCGGCAGCGAATTCACCAGTCGCAATTATCGGGGTCGGCGCGGACCCCCTAGCGTGAACCCCATCACCAACATGACATTCAGCGAGAGCAAGGAACGGATAGTTGAGGAGGTCAAGATGCAGAACATGAACATTTACTCGGAGACTGTGACCGACAGCGCTATACTCAAAGGCATAGTGATCTCCAACCAGATTGAGGTTACCCATGAGACTAGAAGTAGCCACGGTCGGTATCCAAAGTGTTAATTGAAATAGGTCTCATTCCAGCCACCACCAATCTTGGTAACTGTAGGGTTGGAGACGATTTATACTGTACAGAGAGTAGCAACATTCTCAAGGCTGCTCTTCAGAGACACACCATGGCTCTCTCGCAGAATTGAGACAGTGAGTGTGTTGTCGTACAGGGAGCCTCGGTATACATCCCGAAGGAACATTTGTGCGAAATATGCCATTAAACATATGGCGGGTTGCTCTCCGAGACCTGTCCAATTGATTTTGCGTCAGCATTATAAGCATCATGCATAATCTGACCCAGACCTGGCCTTAACGTGGACAAAGAGAGATACCAGCAGACATCGAACCACTGAATTAGGAAGGTAGCAAATGTTGTCCCACTAGTATAGGACACTGTGTGTACCGATCTCAGACGAGCACGGATGATTCGAGTTTGAAAATTGCGATATACTCCATAAACACATCAAAATAACATTGATCGCGATTTCCAACGGTGGATACAACACGGTTAAGAGTAGTCCTGCCGCCTGGGGCTCGCCCAGTTGGCCGATAACCCATTTCTAATCGGTCGAACTCTACTCCGCAAACCAAACGTCCGATTTACCGTTAACTAGCGTTGGAAGTAATATGTTCAATAAATTCATACAAAGCACTCTTTAGATACATACAGAGGTTTGCATAAAGTCATATACATGCCACCCGAACGCCGTGCTAGCGAGGTGAAACCAAGCTTCAATAGGAAATAAAAAGAACAGAGAAATCGCTATTAATAACAACCAATTGGCCACACAGTGGGGAATCTAAAACGTCGTAAGCTCGTAACAGTCTAAGCACGCCAGAGGCGGTGGAGAAGATGCCAAGGAACAATAGGCATACGACATCAACTGAGTAGGGATGCAGACAGAGAAATTAAGGGCTAAGAGTCGCGATGAGTGCCTTGGCTTTCCGATGAACTATGCTCTCCGCGGTGGGGATTTGTGGGTGTAGTAGGCGTGTTGTTCACAGGGCTGGCAAGCTCAATTTGGATTGTAGGCAGAGGCGTGAGCTCCCGCAGCCGTGGCGGATGGTCACCTCGCTCTGCGGTTGGACTTTCATACGGAGGCGCCTCTCCCCAGTCCAACTGTTCATAGTCCGGAGGGGGGATATGAAGAGCCCCCAAATCGCCTTCACCAGAACTCGGGAGCATGGAGTGGGTGGAAGCAGCGTGTGATTGGACCGGGGTCAAGCTATCTTGTTCAGATACTCCAGTGTCTGCGGAATGAGCGGACGAGTACGATTCACCTCGTGAGTGTACATTCGTCAAACTCGACGTGGATGAACGATTGGCGGTTTCCGTGCTCATCGTATCGACGTTCGACAGGAGAGGGCGAGAATCCGTATCAGGCTCATCAGGCGAGGTATTGCGCATACGCGTTCCATCATGTCGCACGTAGCCCAATGCTGCATAGCTGACACTGGAAATACGCCTCTCCCGACCGCGACTCCGAGCCTCGGCTAGAGTCAATGCAGAAGAAAAATTGGTGTTGCTCCCGTTGGCAGAAGAACGACTCTGGGCTCGAGCACGACCCTCTTGGCGAAGCTGCTCGAGACGGATATAATCCCCACGAGCACGGGCCTCACGACGCTCCTCTCGCCTGGCCTCCCGCTCTGCTATCTCCTGTCTCCGCTGCTGGCGGATTTGGTACAGGGATTCCATCAGTTCCTCCCTGCGGGCTTCCTCTTCGTCGGCAGTCTCGGGAAATTCCACGACGACATCCATGCCGCCCCGCTCTCCTTCTCGGGCAATGACCTGCTCTGAGGGTTTCGGGCTCGACGAATAGGCGGGGAGGGTCATGACGGAGCGAACTGACGTTTCACGGCGAACCGCGCTATTGGTGTTCATTTCTGATCCTCGTTCTGCAGACCCGGTGTTTGCGCCGGCTTCAGCTCGATTGGATGACGCTCCATCATTCGGAACTTGACCGTATGACGCTCCAGCTTGCCAGCGATTCCATCGATCTTTCAAAGACTTCCCGGGTATGTATTTTGGACGACAGTTCATGCGACGGAGCGTGCGCAGGGTAAAATATGTCATTAAAATGACGGCTAATGCGAAGACGATGGCCGCAGCGACCTGTCAAGATGAGTTGTCAGCTAGGTCTGAGAAAGGATGGGATACCGATTACTGAGTCATCTGAAGATGTACTTACTATGATAAAGATATGATTCCGGTGAGATGTCTCAGATCGAGCTTCATGATTGTTGTCCGCGCCCGGCGGTCCACTCTGACGGGCGACAAGCCGTCCATATTGAGATGGGATATACATTCTCCGCAATCCCCAGGAGGGAGCAAAACAAAGGATCCAGTGAATTCTCAGCTATTCGACATGCGGAATGTGACGACAAGGACGGTTCATGGTCAGGGTTCTGCAAAGGTAAGATGAAAAAGAATGTTCTCCGTGGGTTAGGCAAACCAGCGGAATGGGCGGATGGCTGGGCAGGGCTGAGCCAGTCTCGGCGATGATGAGAGATGACAGGCGCCAAAGTAACGCTAGCGTGCAATCACCATCCGTTACACCAGACCAGCGTTGGTTTATATACAAGGAAGAAAAACAGGATGAGATCATCTATCACAAAGAGGGTAGTTGAGCAGAAAATCCATAGCAAAAAGTTGAAGACGGGGAAGTAAGGGTGGAGTCTTCCAGTCTTCTATTATCATCTGGCGTTCTAATTTGGAGGCCGGAGGTGGCTGGTGGATCGGGATCATTTCGTACGGACCAAGTATTCTCCTGTAATAATATTTTTAGATTTTAATTTACGGGATTCACAAAGCTTATCTAATACTTTTCGAGCACAGTCGCAACATAAAGATCAAGATCTGATCCATCATCCCACGTTGTATAGCATAGCCTTGTCATGTTTAACATAAAACAGTACGATTTATGTAAACTTAGAAGATCAAATGTGTATAAAATGGTTCATCGATATCCTGGACTTCTCGACAACCTCGTTAAACGGCCCGTGCGCGTCTTACCGACTACTATATCCGCTACAAGAGTTATATACATAGTCACATACATCTCGCGTAAGTGAAGCCATTGAGCCCCTTAATACCTTGCGACCCCACCCATACGCTACAGGAACACATATAATCCAATCACTATAGGTTGAATGGCAGGATACTCTTGGTTGAAGTAGGCTGGCTCCTTTATCTGTGAACTCGGAAGGGATACAGCATAGTTTACCTGCAGAAGATGGATGAGGTACAAATCCAGTACTTTACATTTCAGATAAAGGTGTTTAGCCAGAAAGAAAATTGAACTCAAATTTGTACAATCCATTTCTAGTCCAGACCATGTTCAGTTTAGAGTATTTGGTATTCTGAAATAAAGTATACTCTTAATGGACTATAAACGTAATACTAGAAATAATACATGAAATTAAGCATGTTAACTCAGGGGAAGTGCGGTATTTTTCACGTGACGTTGACAAATCGAGTATAAGCTAACATATAAATAGCCGGGCTCATAACCCCGAGGCCCCTATTGTCCTCCTACTAAAGACTGTAGCTGTTTCTACTGACAACTACATCCGCACCGTATTCAGAACTTGGAATGCACATCTATCGGGGACTAAAGTTTCTCAGTATGGTATTTTGCCTGCCCATGGGTCACGGCGTTGACAATATAAGATAGATAACTGTACTGAGACCAGGTAGGAAGGTCACAGATCAGTAGTTACTAAGTCGACATCACTCGAATTGCGTGTTCAGCTGCTCAGCTGCCTCACAGTTCATGACAGTACTTCTTCTCATGGCTGCCTGGATTTGTTAGATCAACTTCCGTAAACGTAACCAAGGCAGACAGATGCATATCTTTGAGACTGTGTTGCGTCATCACTATACCTTACTTCGACCAACCCTACCAGTGTAACAGCTCCATGGTTACTTGTAGATGGATTATAGGACTTAAGTCCTTCAGGCGCTCGTACTAATTGCATGCTGATCTCCTGTAGTGCCCAAGTCTTCTTTGCATTATTTCCCTTATATTGTGAGCGTGTTTACCAACCATTTCACACTATGTTCTTCTGGGAAGTAGCAATTAGCGCCGGTAATAAGCACCACGGTTTCATTGAAGCTGATGCTGGTAACTTAATACAATCGTGAATTCTACGTATGAACGAAGATATCGCATATCACATCTAGTGCTATAGACGATCTTTGAACTCAATTGGAACATTCTGATTTCCGGGCCACAACTGCTCTCTTGCCGCATCCATTGATATCCACCATTTCCTATCGACTTGGATCCCTTAATGGGATTTAACTATTGCCGGCCTCATAGCCATGGTACAAACTTCCCCATTATTCAAAGCATTGATTTTTTCAAGGGCATCTTAGCCTTATGCATGTCCTAGTGTACTCCGTGAGTCCCTGGAACTGACATAACTAACACATTCCAACAGGGCCGGATCTGATTATCTAGGCCACCGCCGGGGGGGGGGGGAAGAAATGGACTTAAAAATCGAGTAATGAAATTGGGGTATTTTTCTTTTTCTTCCCCCTTCGACCCTCCTGCCATGCGCGTGAGTAACATCTCCTCTTACTCCATTGGTTCCGAAGAGTTCTACAAGGCCTTAGCATGACGAGAACCTCCTACGTTGATTGACTGAATCATTGGACAAATTCTGATATTTAAGACATACTAGTATAGCACCTTTGCCACACCGAAGCCAATTGTCGAACTAAAATGCAGCATTTGCTGCGAGGTGTCGGCTTATCCTCAGAATACAATGAGAAGGAGACAGAAATGCTTGTTGTATTCTTCATGCACATCTTTCTAGTTTTTAATAGAAGAGATTAAATTGATCCTGCTATCACCTCATGATGACCGGTCTATTATCACAATGTACAAGCCTACCGAATCAGGACACGTTCTGATTTCTGAGAGACAGCCGGGTTATTATGCAACGGGAGGATGTTATTATCATGCTCAGTTACATACTAGGAGACTGCTGGCTAGAGATTCATGAATACCACTGCACTACACTTTTAAGGACTGTCTATTCTAGAATATAAAATATTCAGAACTTTATAGTACATTTATATAGAGACTATAGTCTATGTAACAACATGTATAGTCACTTTTCATACTTGACAAGGCTTTTCTATGGATGCTGCTTAGAGCCTTTCTGTTCTGCCATTTCTAGTTCTTTATTCTAAGCCAACGAAGTTAGGATTGGTCATGACTACGTTTGATAAAAGGATAAACTAACCACAGCTAGTCTGGTTGTGGACAACTAGCTGGCACATGACAGCAGGACGGACCAAGGACCCGGACCTCGTAGCGAGTCTCGTAATCCAATGATCATCCCAGTTCCTCATGGCTGTGCAGCTTTAAAGGGACGGAACCACGAGTCATGATCTGGTATTTCTGCGGGGTTGGGTTTCTTGGCCGATTTGACACCACCAGCTCGTATCTTTTCTTCAATACTATACATATGTCATTACCTCATGCGGTCGAGGTTCAAAACTCTGAATCTGCTTTGCTTTTTCTCCACAGTTCCCAGACCTTATAAGACCATAAGAAAAACAAAAAAACTAACTATCCTTTAGGTGATACAATAATATTCCCATGCGTATTAAGCCATTTCATTGATGTAACTCTTGTACCATTTCTGTCCAACTGATGACGATCGCATCATATCTGACATGGGGGATCATTCTGACAAACGCTCTACTCCAGCTCCCCTCGGTTACCTCGCGCCGGTCTGCGCCGGCCTTCTCGTGATCAGTGTCTGGTATGTAGCTCCATTCTACATCGCAAGATCCTTGTGTTGATTTAGAGTTCCACTCAACAGGCTAGTTATTGGTCTCAGGTACCGTCATTTCCGTCGGAACCGGCAAAGCTCTCATTTTTTGGATCTGGAGAGTATTTCCTTTCGACGCGGTTCTACGGTGATCTCAAGTGGCGAGGTTGACAAGCAATTTCCGCGGATGAAATACAGCGACTGGTGGGCGGGTCGATGTAGAAAAGAGAGTATTGGTAAAGAAACTATTGGGTCGCTGGGTTCAGGATCGGAAGACCCCAGAAGTGGTCAGGAAGAGAAGGAGACAGCAATCACCGTCCCTGAAGGCCATGTCCATAAGACAGACCCTGCTGAGGATGCTCCGGACACGCAAATAGACAAGGCACAGAAACATGTTGGCGACTCAAGGAATGCTTGTGGGCACGACACTGACGATGTAGCCAGCGAGTCGGGATGCTTATGCGCGATTTGCATGGATTCTTTTGAAGGGGATACCTATATTCGACCTCTGACATGCGGACACATCTTCCACTCTTCCTGCGTGGATCCGTGGCTCACGAGACGACGTGCAAGCTGCCCTCTGTGCAATAAGAGCTTCGGTGATCAGGGAGCAAGTAATAGGGAGGAACCGAATACACAGATATTCCCCGTTCTTGCCATGCCAAGGGCAGCAATGATTAGAAGTGACGTTTTCCCCAGGACAATGTGAGACGATATCTATTTCGATGCACCGTTAATGTGCGCAACGGTCTCGAGTTCTTCGCTCGGTATATCCGCTCCTTATAACGTCAAAGCCGGCAAATCAGACTTTGTTAAGCATAGCACCGAGAGGTCCATCCACGAGGCACATTGTTCCGTCGAATATTGGCCATTTACTCCTATATAATGAACTGAGAAGTTGGGCCATTTCAACTGCGCCCCATCACCCAAACTTCAAGCTGGAGTGGTAGTCGATATGCCTAATATCTCCGACCTCAAGGTCATGCGATCTATGCGTTTCACCCAAAGTGGGGCCTGGTTCTCCAAGGCCTTGCTTCTCTTGATAAGTGACTTCCATCGTATCCAGGCGGCTAACCGACAATTTGTTCGCTGCTTCCCGGCTCGGAAGTACCTCGTCAGCCCCTTGGGGCCCAACGTTTTTGACTGTCTTCCCACTTCCGAGCCTGCTCAAATAAATACGGGGGACTGAGAACGACGGTCGTGACTGCGAGCTGATCGTAGTCCCTGGCGACTGCGAGGCTCCGGGTGATTCCTTCATCAGATGAGCGCCATGTTGTCGATAATGCTTACTATTGGCCTGGAACGCCTTTAGGCCAAATAGTTTGCGCAGGAGTGGCCAGAGGCAGATCAAATTGGCCACATATATTGCGGTGCTTGCTTCCCGGATGTACCATATCTGGTATGTAGTTGTGAGCGGAGACGCGAAATTGTATACTTTGTTGAGTATCGCAGCGACGATGGTGAAAACCCCCAGGCTCATAATACAGACCAGAATGAACTTTCTCCGGACTTTTAACTGAGTCTTCATGAGTAGCGGGATGGGCACAACGAGCATGGCAGCGTCCGAGGAGATATTAAAGACAGCTTGGGTAATGGAGTAGTGTTGATAAGTTGCACACTGCATATTCTCCACTGGAAGTTGCCAGTACTGCTCGAAAGGCCTGCAATATATCCCATAGTACGCTACCATAATCACAACGAAGCCAACGGCAACATAGACGGCAATAGCCTTGACGTAGAGATGCAGGAAGCGGATATTCGCAGTCAACCGCCAAAACAAGGTCAACATGCATATCTTAACGCCCCATGTCGAGAACAGCATACACTGTTCCAGACCGATGACAATCTTGCTCCCATATATTCGATCTTTGACTTGCTGGGGGTCTGCAAGGATTCTCTGCGTGTCTTCCGGGGGGAAAAGGTTCGTCCCATGTTGTGAAGAGATTTGGATCAGAATTAACAAGCTAGTGTAGATTATCTAGCATATGGAAGCGTTAGTTCCCATTATCAAGCATGATGCAGGTGAAGCTCACAAAAGTTGCAGTCATGACATAGTCGTCAACTATTCACACTGTCAGCATGTGTCTATAGCATATGGAATGAATAACAGCATACAAGACAAACGCTTGACCGAACCAGCTGCAATGAACCGAGAGATCCTAGATAATCGGCGTAAGATGTGCTAGTTTTTGCGCTGATAGCACTGGTAGTACGTACATTCTACAGATGAATAGAACGACGGCAATACTCCAAAAAATCAAAGCCTCGGTAAGAAGCTCATGAGGGGTGGGCGACACGTTCCCCATATTGTTGATGGTCTATAATGCCTCTCCAAGGTTTAGGGCTAAGGGGGTGTGTTGGTCATGGAGAGGCAGGACATATTAGGGCTGGCATACATGGGCATGCAATGGACTTCATTAGACTTAAAAGATGTCAACAACAGCTGGTTCGAAAAGGGACCAAAATCCCCTTGTTCCCTGGATCCAGCGCAGTATGTTTCTCGCTTATTAGCATTTTTACTGGAGTCATTTACGACACTTGGCACATGGGGGTGTCTTGATCGTGCGGAGTGGCAGAAGCAAGGGAATGGCGAGCTCCCATGCAAGGGATGTCACAACACTGGCGGAACGTCGACCGACATTTATTGTCAGGTGCCGCGCAACGGTAAATTACTCTGGGAGTGAAACAGGCCTGCATCGGTTTACTGAAAGTTTGAGTGCCGAGATTGAGATAGACAATACCAGATCTAGCCTCCAGTGTAGGGGCATGTCTCCGCCACGTACCCTCCAATGACCCTGTAAAACAAGGGGTCTTAAATATTCGGGGAAAATCATTGTGTTCCTTGGAATGCTGAAGGCAGCGAGGGCTTGCAGGCGAACTATATCTGCATTGCTCGACCCCGTTAGGTTTGCCTAAGCGAAGCATGGGCTCTCAGCCTGACATTCACCGAGAACTGTTCAATTTCCTGATGCTTTGTAAGTTTCAGTGTGTTCGAGACATTTGACAGGCTGAACTGCAGAGAGGCCCAACCTGCATCGTCATGACAGTTGCCAGCCGTTGGTCACAATGCGTAACCTTGCATGAAGGGATAAGTCTTTATCCCGGCTACGAACCAAAGGCGAGTGTACCTCTGCATTGAAGGGTTACTGTGGTCTTTCTAGGCATTGCTAGCAGGGGTTAGCTAACATAAGGTCTGTACTCTATGGGGTGAGATACGATATCCTCCATCGAACTAGTCCGGGCCGTCGCGAAGATGCCGGGCTTTGCATTTTTCTTCCAAGTCGGCACGTGGATACTGCCTGTCAAGCCTAATAAAGAGCGGTGAGGCACGTTGCATTCTGATAGATGGCGAAATTCGCGTCGAAGATGGACCCTTTCTATTCCAGATTGACTCGTTGCTGTCACCATGAAGCGCTGAGATTCAAGCAGTGGGATGTTAGGTTACAGTATTCTCCTGGATGCTAGACAATGTAGGCATGAATCAAGTTTTTCGGAAGCATTTTCCTCTCGGCTGATGAGTGGGCTTTAGAGGGAATGATCTACATTTATAGTACACGTCAAGTGGGGTCAATCTTGATATCACAACACAAGAGTGATACAACAAATTCCCGATATTCAGCACTCATTCTGAACTGCAAATATGCCATAATCTTTGCCCCTGGAGGTTATTCTTATGATCTCTAATCATCTTGAAACTTATCCACAGCGATTCAACCTAGCTATATCATGTCGACGTTTTTACATATTCCTGCTGCCGACCATATTCTCATCGATAGAACTATCTGAATACAGTGCAAGGTGCTTGATCCCGTTGACTTTGCAATTCATAAAGCACCGCTCTCTGGCCAAAAATGTGCGCTGCTTAACAGTCAGAGAGCCCAACGAAGGGCGCTGGATTGGTTGCATGGTACGAAAAGACCTTGGAAGACATGATAGAAGAAATCAGCCACTCTAAAAGCGAAGGGGCGCAATGGATCACCCACTTAGAAGGGGATCAAAAGACAGATTATTGGATGGCGTTACTTCTATATCTTCTCCCAAATCTAGAAGAACTAGATTGTTACTGGATAGGAAACGGTATACATCAAGTCGATCTGATGCTACAGCGGATGGTTGCTGGAGACAAGCCGTTTGACCACAGACCGGGCTTGTCACATCTTCGCCGGGCCCATATCAGGATGTCCCAGTCGGCTATGGGGGGTATTTCAATAGAACAAATAAGGCCATTCTATCAGCTACCATCAATGAAAGTCTTAAAAGGCACAGACGGTTACCGGTGGCTTCGTGCAGGATGACCAAATACCAGAGAAGAGCTCCACGATTGAACATCTTGAGATAGTCCAAAGCCGTATGCCCAATGGTTGTCGTGATCTCATTGCACCCTGCAACAACCTCAAGTCATTTAAATATTCGCTTCACGACAGTTCTAGGCTGGATATTGCAGCTTTCAGCCAGGCCCTTGGCGCAAGGAAAGACACGTTGGAAGGACTCTCGGTGGATCACTTCTGGGGAGACTCTTCTGGTACGGTTGATAATCAGAACTTTGGGTCGCTGAGAGACTATACTGCGTTGAAACATCTTCGACTAAGTATGGATAGCCTTCTTGGTGATGTGCTGGGGCCTCCTTATGGTTGATATCTTACCGTCGTGCCTCGAATCTCTTTACATAGCTGATATGGATAGGGAGAAGGGTAACCACAATGTATTGGTGGTAGGGTTGTGCCGTTTGGTCATGGCATCGGATGTCGCATTCCCTCTACTCAAACAACTGGATATTGAAGGGAATTTTCAGGACCCCATGTTGTCATCTCAAGAAAAAAGTGAAGTCATGAAGATATATCCAGAGCTTTCATCGCTGCTGGGATCTTGGATATACGAAATCACAAAGGAACTGCGTATAATTTGTTTTGACAACGGAGTTTCTTCTACAGTTCGTGATGCACGAATTGAAAGACAGTTTAATAACTTGCCTGACATGTATACGGAAATGTTTCCTGATATGAGATATCACTATACCTATGTCCTTTGAGGGGCACCTTCGTTATCAGATATGCACGTGGTTAGCATATAGAACATTCTACATATTTTTAGACCATTGCCCCTGTACGTGAATGAACCTCCTATCTTCTTCCTCAAAAAGCATTTTATGTTCAGTGGCGAATCATTTAGGGTTTCCTCATTTTACAATCTCCGAGTCCCTTGCGTCGATTTGGGATCATACTCCATCATAAGTGGACAACGAACATCCCTTTCTCTTCAAAACTGCCTATTCTAGACTATATGACACTACTACATGGCGCCCATTCTTCAATTCACGTGGTAACCATATGGCACCCTTGCATGGCTATGGAGAATAAAGTACTGTTACTCTGGCTTTTCAGTCATCTCAACTCTCGCCAACAATGCATGCAGTTCTTTACCAACGCCGCCAATTCCAATTTATCTGGCAATAACACATAATGGATGCAGCTCGACTAGAGTCTGCGCTAGGGCACAAGCAGGAGTTGGTCCGCAATTTCGATCTCGTCAGTTTAACTAGCTTAGGGATCATCATCGCCAAGTAAGTGACGATAATCAACACACGAAGAGATACTAGTAGCTGACTATAGTAAGTTCATGGGCATCAACTGGCGGTACAATTGTCGCAGCTCTGCAAAATGGAGGGCCAATGGCAGTTCTCTACGGGCTCATTCTCGTTAGCGTCTTTTACACACTGATCTCTGCTTCTCTATCCGAGCTCGCCTCATCGATGCCATCCGCTGGAGGAGTGTACTACTGGTCATCGGTATTAAGTCAAAAACATGGACGAATTGTCGGGTTCTTCACCGGCTATCTCAATGCCTGTGCCTGGCTTCTTTCTTCATCGTCCATCAGCTCAATGATGGGGAATGAGGTCGTGGCTATGCATATGCTCCGGAGTCCTGGCCTGAAATGGCAACCATGGCAGGTTTTTATCGTCTTCCAGTCAGTCAATTGGATCTGTTGCGGCATAGTCTGCTTCGGGAATCGGTTCATACCTATGATAAACCGAATCGCCCTGCTACTTTCAATGTGCGGGTTAGTCGTGACAGTTATTATCCTTGCAGTGATGCCGACGAAACATGCAAGCAATTCTGAAGTATGGACGAAATTCCAGAACAAAGGACAATGGCCAGATGGCATTAGCTTCATAACCGGACTACTGAATGCAGCATTCGCAGTCGGCGTCCCCGATTGTATCTCCCATTTATCCGAAGAAGGTATAATTATCCCCATCTATACCAGAAACAATCTATTGATTCCATTCTCAGTACCCAAACCCGAAATCAAGGTCCCCCAAGGCATCATGCTCCAGATGCTCACAGCCTTCACCACAGCATTTATATACCTAATCGCGCTCTTCTACTCCATCCAAGACCTGGACGCCGTTTTCGCCAGCGAAATCGCCGTTTTCCCAACAGCCGAAATCTACAAACAAGCCACCGGATCCAGCGCAGGCGCAATCGGACTAATCGCCGTCCTCTTCCTCGCCACCTTTCCAACTCTAATCGGAACCTTGATCACAGGTGGACGTATGTGGTGGAGCCTTGCCAGGGATAATGCAACCCCATTCGCCTCGTATTTCAGCAAAGTACATCCCAAACTCAACACCCCAGTTCGTGCAACTGTGGCCATGAGTACCATGGTGACGTGTCTCGGCTGTATATACATTGGGAGCACAACTGCGTTCCAAGCTTTGATTTCCTCTTATATTGTGCTGAGCACGTTGTCCTACCTTGGGGCTATTCTTCCGCATGTCTTGACTGGAAGGAAGAATATCGTTCCTGGTCCTTTTTATCTGGGGCGATTTGGGTTTGTTGTTAATGCTGTTGCTGTTGTGTATATTCTTGTGACTGTGGTTTTCTTTTGTTTCCCTCTTGTTCTTCCGGCTACGGCGCATAATATGAACTATACTAGTGTCATTGTTGTAGGGTTGATGGCTATGACTGCGGTTTGGTGGGCCTTTCGTGGCAGGCGTGACTACAGGGGACCTCAATATAGTATTGACGCTGCTCTACGACTTAATGGCGAAACGAATCGTCCTGTGGAGGGAAAGACTTAGATTAGTAGTATCGAGAACGTGGGGACAGCAGCTTGTATATATCAGGCTGCACATATAGTCATGGAATGTGGCACCGAAATCGTCAATATATTTTCATGTTCAGAGGTCATACTTTCGGCGATCTATTTACAACACCATTAAAACTGATAAGGTACTCTGCCGCGCCTGGCGCATATTCTCCACCCGCAAGCTCGAAGAGAGAGCATGCCGCCAGCTGTCTAACCATATATATATCATAATACGTCAGACTTGATTGGGAACTCTTCACAGCCTCGGCCGGATGGACTGTCCACCTTCCCAGAAGTCACCGGCCTCCAAAGTCTGCCATCCAGCCACGGAGCCTGCTTCAACACAGATCATGTTCTTGTATGCCTCATCCGGACCAAAATCGGCCATGCCCTTGGCCTTTTCAATCCAAGGGTTCCACACAACGACATCATTCAAACTTTCCCTGGTAATGGAGAAAATGGGCTTATCATCGCTGGCGGACGAAACAATAATAGGCACCTTGGGGTCCAATGATTGGTATACACGGTCGGTTTCCTTGTTGATCTCAACGGCAGGGGACGTTTCCGTGATAACGGCAGCGTTCTGTGTTTTATCGACGTAGGTCTTGGACTCGAGGTTCTTGACGCGGATGTCGGAGATGTCCTGGTGCCGAGAGGTTAGAACGTGAAAATAAAACCCATAAATTCCTGGGGACTTACGTCGATCTTGAGATACGTATGCATCAACACCTGGAAGTCGAAATTCTGACTACCCTTGTTCTGCACCTGGAGAGACGTTTCCAAACTCTCTTTGGTCAGAGTAACGCTATATACCAGCCCAAAGTCATACGGCCATGTCTTCTGGAAATCCTCTGTGAGCATAGGGCGGGAGAGACCGAAGTCCAGCTTGACAGAGCCATCTCCGCTGCGATCCTTGCCTAGGGATTCCGATGATGACTTGCCCAGAAATTCCCAAGTGCTGTTACGTGCAAAGCCGTGTTGTGGAAGGGACGATGTGGCATGGTTCTGAGGAGGAGGACCGAAGACCTACACATTCACCAATAGATCGGGTTAGTTAAAAGAACGCAGTCTGAATCGAAGTCTCGAGTGGACGGACGTACAGGGAACACCACGGGAATACCGCCTCGAATTGGCTTTGAACCGTCGAGGTGAGCCTTCTCGCTTACGAACAATTGCTCTTTGCGATTTGCTAATTTCCAGGAAGTGACAGTAGCTCCGTACAGGTGGATCGTAACGGATTCACCGGAGGGCAGCGTGGCTTCGACAGTATTGTCGCGGAGGGAGATGGTGGGCTGAGGCACCGATGCACCCACGCCGATGGCTGAAGGCTTGTTAGAACGGTCCATGGTAGACAGATACTATAACAAAAGCAAGCAATGATATGTGAACTTGAAGAGGTGACGGGACGATTGATGCAATGCGGGGGACCACCGAAAAGTGGCAGAACAACATCGGTGGGGCACGTGGGGCGGGCTGCCTTATCTCATCGCGTTCGATAGGAGAATAACCCAACGAAAGGACAAAATCACTCTCTATAAATGAATATATTCATGTATGGATACCAGATACCAACACTAATGTCCCCGTCCAATATCCTTTTTGTACGTATCAATTACCCATAGCCTTCCATCGCGCAGTGTCAAACAAAAGAAATAGTGAAATGTAGACAAACCAACAGAAAAGAGGCATCTCAAAAGAAAAAGAACAAAAAATGATGATGGCCTTTTCCGACATAACCAGGAAAGTAACGAATAAGATATAGAAAATAACATGAAAGAATTCAACGCCTTCGCTATGCATATGAAAGATTAACCAGTATGTCTCCTTAATGCCTCACCCGTTTCAACCCTGATTTCGAACATCAAGTCATCAATTTGTCGAATAGCATCTCGGTCTAAGGTGGCCGATTTAATATCGTTTAGCAAGTTTCTGAACGAGGTGATAATTCCTGTTGCGCTGCCGACATTCTCTGGATGGGCATCTGCCTGGTTTGTTCGAGAGAGCGCTTGTTTGCTTGTCTGGGGAACGGAATTGACCTCCGCGTTTCCTATATTGGTATCGTTTTGAAGTTCTTGGTTGGTAGGTAGTTCCTTCTCGTTCGTAGGAGCGGTGGCCGTGTTCTCGGCGGCCGGGGTATGTGCTGCAGGTTCTTCGGGGGGTTGAATGCCATTCTGTTCGAAAGAACCTCCGTGTATTTCTTCTTGGTGGTCATCATGGGAAGCCGCAATGGCAGTTTCTTCGGCCTGAGCCTCTGACCTCGGAGATGGTTCCCTTGATGCATTGCCCTTACGCTTGGCGCTTCGCTTGCGCCAACGACCGTTCCGAGGTGATTTTCTGGGAGTTGCGCCTTCTTTTGGTACAGTCAGTGGGGAGTGACCACTCAGGCGGGAGGACCTGCGTTTCTGAGAGGCAGTGGCCTCACTGCCCTTTGTAGCGCCGATATTGTCCAGCTGTAGGTCAGGCAGTCTGGCAGGTACATCATCTGCATCGCCTTTGACATGGAGCTTTTGCTTCTTCGGCGCTGACCCAGCTGGTGAAGATCCAACCTGCTGGGCGTTGCTCGACAATATCGATTTCTTTGAGCGAGTGCTCCGAGGTTCCTCGAGATCAGCATCGTCTATTTCCTTCGCAGGACGTCTCGTCGATCGACGTCGCTCTTTACTAGAAGGTGTACTAGAAGGTGTCGACGCGTTTTCTTCATCTCTTTTCCTTTTTCTTGTCATCGGAGGTTCAGACGGAAGTCCCGCCTCCTGTTCTTGATCTGGTTTATCCGAATCGACAGCGAATTCTAGGTCTTGCTCAAGTTGAGACGCAACCTGCGTCTCCATGTCGTCACTGAAAGAATCCGCGATCCAGTCACAAGCAGGGTCTAAACTGTCCGTGGTTTCACCAGATACGGCGACGTTTTTAGGGGTAGATTTAGAAGACATTGGCTTATCAGGAGAGCCGTGAATGAACTTTGAAGCGTTCGCAGCAAGGTCTGGTTCACCCACTGGGGGAATGTTAGACTGAGGTTCAGCCGTATTTTGTGCGTCTGCTTTGGGCGTCTTGCCGGTAGATGAACGGAGACGACTGCTCAGCGGTGTCCCTGCTTGACTGGGACCTTCGTGTGCTTCTACGGATTGCGTATGTTGACTGTCAGGCCGTTTCTTATCCTTCGATACTGAACGTTTAGCTTTCTTAGCCTTCTTTTTCTTGTTCACCCTGTTCTCGACAGCTGCAGTGGTCAGAGACATCTGTTTGTTGCGGGCATTTGCACCCTGGGACTTGAGCTCAGGAGGGGAGGATGGAATGTCACTGTCAAAGCGAGAGTCCATTGCTGGTGTTGATAACGACGATGGGATCTGCGATCCAACAGACTGCGTTCGGCCCCTTATACCGGGAGTAGGAGAAGAGCCCAGAAAACCGTCTTCGTTGTCAGCTACGACAGGTGGCAAAGTAGGCGTTTGGGGTGTTCCCGACTCACGATCGGGACCACGCAGACCACGTAACTGCGGAGGTGTCATGAACCCGTATTCTTGCGGTGTATTTGTAAGGGGGGAAGAAGAGCGGAGATTCTCGATCATCGAAAATACATCGGTGCGCTTCTTGGGTTCTTCGCTGGGTGGCAGAAATGAGACCGAAGCTTCCTCAATGCCAACTTGATCTGTTTCGTTGGGTTCGGCTGACTGGTGCGGTCGTGCCTCACCTGGCTGTTGCGCAACTCTAGGTTCAATGACTCTCGTGACAGGAGATGAGTTGAAGCCCACAGGGTAGGATGACGCCACTGGATGGTCTAGGATAAACGCTATGCGGGATTTTTCAGACATATCTACCCGATTGCTATTCAATGCTTGTGTTTCAAGGGATGTTGTCGGAAGTCCAGCCTGGAACCAATCAGTATATGAATTCAAAAGCGAATAGCAATTCACGTACCTGCCACTGTCCTTGTCCCGAGTTCTGAAGCTTGATCTGCGATTCAAGCTGCTGTAGCGCACGAGATATAGATTCGGGATATGGGAGTGACTTTTGTTGTCCAAATGAAGGATTCCAGAAATCGCGAAACCTTTTCGCTATAGACATATGGGAGGACTCGAGGCCTGCACATATAATAGGTTCAAACCTCTGTAGACAGGAGGCATTGTGGGGTGAACAAGCTTGCAAAATATTTATAACTGCGGACGAGAGAGCGCGGCCCTTGGCCTTGTTAGTACTTTCTTTCACATCCCTTGCTTAATAAACTTACCGCAGTGAGGATCCTGCTTTCCACACCACTTTCAACGTTGACCTTGCGCATGTCATCCTTTAACCAAAGAGCAAGGGGTTGTTGAGTAGTTTCAAGGATCGCAGAGCGAAATGCTGGAACACCAGAGCTTAAAAGGGACGTGAATGATTCTAAAAAGTCTGCGACGCCATTGGTCACTGTAGGGTCGAAGCCTTCATAAGACTCTTGAAGGATCCGATTTACTAGTTCAACTAGTTTGGCGGGAAATATCGAACTGTCGCTGGCATGCCGATCTTGTCCACTTACTGAGCCCTCCGTGTTCCGAACGTTATATTGGCAGTATGTGATGGAAAGAGAATGCCTAAATAAGGAGGCTGCTGACAAGTAGGTGTCCCGAACTCTGAGCGCCATCATGCACTCAGAGAGTGGTTCTACAACCATTGTTGCAATTGCATCGTCGCCCTTCTCGGTTCGCACGACGCGAATAAGGGAGTCCACAAGCTGATCCCACTCCTGGGTGATGTCGGAAAACTTCAATCCCGTAGAGAGGATCCTGATAGCATTATCGTAGTCGCGCAAAACAGATCCGTCACGCTCGCGGGCGGACTCAATAGGATAAGAACATATAGAATCCGCTGCCAGTCGTGCTGTTGACTTCCAACTTACCTGGGCGAAGTTATGGTTTCTGAAAGAGAATGCTGTTTCACTTGGATACAAATCTGCGCACTGCCTGAGAAGCTCTAAGCGTGAGCTCCTGGCCGTTCTGCCCTTGCATGCAGCGCCAAGGG